TTACTGTCTTGACGCCATTAATATTGAAATTTTCGATTGGAAATGTGAATGATGCACAGATTTAATCGTGCTTTAATTGGAATTGAATATCTCGGAGTGAACAATCTCTCCAATCTCTAATCATATGAGAGATGCATATTTTTTGCATATATAAAAATATATACATCTGGTGTTTGGGACGTGAATAGAAATGCACCTGCGAGATTTTATCAATGGTGCCACACGACAGAATGCATCGTGTTGGCTTTCCACCAAAGCTCACGAGAGAATGGATAGAGAGAGAAAGAAGAAATGAAAGTAAATCTAACAAATTTTCACCTTTCCATTTAGCAGATGCACATATTTATTCACTTTATTATTCGGCTTGAGTGGCACTTCTCAAGATGACTCTGGGAAATCTCAGTGCCATTGAATTTGGCTCATGAAGAGTAAATTGCAGAACCATCACCAACGGAGATTGGGAGAAGGTGCGCTAGGAAAGCATTGTAGAATGTTTATTATTTGACTGTCGCATTAACAGCTCGTAAATTAGGTGTGGTGATGGAAGGTATGCTAATAAAATTAATTTCGAGCCCATAACAATTTGTTGAGAAGGTTGTTTATGGACAGAAACTCTGATAAGATAGAAAAAACATGGGAAACTGTATTGATTGTGTTCAAATGCAAATAATTCAATGTTTCAAATGTGTATGAAAGAGAAATTTTAAATAAATTAATCAGAATGCAATGGACGTTTAATTTTTCTATGTACGATAATTATAGGAATTTCACAAGAAAATTGCATATATGCAAAATACTTTCTGAACAAGAAAATCAACTTATTCCTCGCGTACTTACTGTCTATATTTTCATATTAGCAATTTAAAGAATGTGCGTATTTTGAATTTATATTGAATTACAAATGTTTACATTAAATCTATTGGCAATTTTCTGCGGAAATGAGTGTGGAAATTGGCGCGCCACAGTGGAAATCCATAGTTCTCAAAGGGCTCAAAGAGCGCTTATTCAAGCCATAAATCACATAAACCGCAAAGGTGTGCACATTTTCGACACTCTCGATGATGCTCAATGAAATGTGATTTACTGAGAGTTAAATTGTTAGTGATTGAAGTAGCAATTAAAGAATTTCTGTGACCTTTCTTACCATTCACACTGTCAGCCTTTTTCTCCGCCGCTCATTGACTTGCAAAAGTTGGCTCATACGTGTGTAATTATTGCCCAACAGCAATAAGTCAATATCATCAGCGTGGAATTGGTGAAATATTGTGTGTTGGAGTTGTTTTTCCTTTGGCGTCTTCACGCTTGAGGCTCACATTCGCACGAAATATGGGATAAACGGTGCAGTGAATGAAGAAATTAGGGTTGATGGTGTGGCAGTTAAGATGAAAATGGCAATTTGATGTCTGGATCAGAGATGGAAATCTCTCAAGAGTGGAGTTATGCTTGATTGACATTATTGATCGTCTATTGTTCAAGTCGATTGACCCCATTTCGCCTCGCGAAGCTCCGCCTTAAATTCCAACCGGAAGTTCAAGATGCATCGATTGTCTATCGAACAAATTGGCAATCCAACTCACTTGGAATGCAGATTTGTGGCGGAGTCTCTTTCACTCAGTCAAAAGTCTCTTTCAAACTGTGATTTTAATTTCCTCAAAACCACGCCTATTTCCATGCCCCTCCTACTGCGAAGTCCTATTACTCTCTGTGTGTTATTTCGTCCTAAAACCACAGACTTATTTGCTTTTCAATATCCTCAAGTTTGAATTAAACACCCATCGACATATTTACCGCTGATCTCAAATGCAAGCGTGAGAGTCACCCTTGTAGCGGTCCGGAAGTGAAACGCAATATAAATGTTTTTTCGGGGGAAGTGAGCCCTATTTTGGGTGTTGTAAATTTCCAATCACGCTAAAAGGCCTCTTTAATGCCTCCCAAATGTTTCCTCAAGTCATACCTTTTGAGCAACGCATGGAAGAGAGACTCCAAAATGACTGATTTATGAAAATAAATAAATAACAGTGAGGAAATACGCATTCTCAAGTGTGTGTATTGTATATTTTTCTGTCGTTTCAAAATATATTTTACAAATTCATCAATTCACTCGGAGTTGCAGCAACTGATGGCGAAGTGGTGTGTTTATGTGTGTGGGGAAAGGCTTGAAAACTTTATAAGCGATGGTTTTTGCAAGGTGCTTAACATAGTGTGGCATATTCAAATAAGTCAATATGCTGGCTACCTCTTTGAGCAGGTGAATTCAACGTAAATCATAATCACGTATAAAGTATGCAGGAAGGCAATAAATCGTCCAGCATGATGGACAAGATTCTCTATGCAACATAAAATTCACAATGGGTTTTTTTTCACCATCATCTTCACTGGTTCAAGTATGGCAAATGCAAGCACATTAAAACTTCAATCAATTCTTTTCACGGGTCTGTCTTCTGCGTGAAATATGGAATGCGAAAAGGAAGATGTTTTTGAAAATTATTGGATCGTTTAAGAACATTCTAAATTGCTGAAACTGCTGAACTATATTGAAAACATGTTAGATAAATCTTGATATAATTTATTGCAAATTAATTTATGATGATCTTCAGTAGAACACAGAATTTCATAAGATATGAAATGCAGGCGATGGAAAATTGAAATAACCCAATATTCAATCAGGACGGAAATATAATAAGTGATTGCATGTCTTCCTCATCTGTGGCACAGCAAAATTGCCAATCAAATAAAGTGGAGATTCACTCTGTACTTCAGCGGTCTGTGTGAACCAGGGCAGTTGGTATGTTGCTATCAAGAACGGAGAAATTACTTGGCTTTAATTGATGCATCTAAATAAAGTATCGTGACGGAAATTGTGTGATGCTATTTGTGTATTTATAAACAATTTGTCATCGCACTCTTGGTGTGAAGGGGATCAAAGAACAAAATGGAAATCGAGTACAATGATATTTGAGAATTCAATAAAAATCCCATCACTTGTGGACATTAAAAATAGAAATGCGGCAACGAAAGTTGCCGCAATCGTGAGCGGATGAAGTAAGTGAAGATGTTAATTGTCCAATATTTGAACAATGTGATTGAAAGTATTCTTCAGTGGATGATGGATGACATCACCATCTACCGTTCGAAATAGGTGTAATGAATATTGCCAGTCTTTTTCGCACAAATCACCGGCAAAGAACGCCATTTCGCCAGGCAATTTGCACCGTCTTTTAATGTGGATGGGCAATATTTCTGTCCTAATGGTGAACATGTCTGGGAATGACAGATGATGATTGGGCTCAAAAGAGTTTAAAAACACTTTTTCGATGGAAAGAAAGCACACACGAAGAGGCCATCAGGCCGAAAAACAGCCGCACTCTTACACATGAAGTTCGTGAAATGTTGTAATTTTTGCGAGACGGTTTCCTCCTCGTCTGCTTTCCTCATCGACAATTTGCATTAATACTGGCGAGCCAAAAGAAATCGAGATGAAAGAATTTTTATTTTGCGAAATAAGAGAAAAACACAGACAGAAACAGAAGAGCAAGAGCGAAGTGGCAAGAGATTCAGGTAAAGCGTACAGGTGCGGATTCGAAGGTGAAATTAATAACCAAAATCACTCACGAGTGTATATGTGGGAAATAGCTAGCATACTTTTGTATCGATTCTGTAATGCTATTAATTGCAGCAAGTACATTTTCCATTTGAACCATTAGAAACTATAATGCCGATGAAACTTATAAAACAATCAATCGCTGTCCAATTGTGCCTCTACATAAAGAACACCACTGTTTGCACCTTTTACCTGCACCGATGGACGCCTTCGCACAACTTCTTAGAGACTCCACTTATTTTCCACCAAAACGCACACGCCATTCAAGAGGCGTGCATGCATAACATGTCAATATTGGGCATTTTATGTATTGCTGCAGGGAACGATTGATAGATTCGTGTTTTTTGTGACACTCTTTTCACAAAGTGTTTTATTCAACTTCGAGTCTTGCTTTGAGTTTTATTTGACAAGGATTCTTAAAGAGCATTCGAAGTAACGTGCTTAAATTATGAGGATAATTATGGTGAAAATACTACAAATAGTGAGTATTTCACAAATTTCATTTAATACGGAGTAACTTAGCTAGCAATTATTTTATAAGTGGAGTTTAGGAATGAAATGAGAATCAAAAATATGCATATATTATCCTAGAAATTCCCGTCCAACAACTTTAAAACGTTAAACATCATGAAATAAGTAAGTGTTAATCTTATAGATTTACCGGTCGATCAGACATGAAGATTATATATTTTTTCCTATAATCATAATCCAACAAAGCGAACAATTTGAACAATTTTGCATGGGATGCGCGCTTATTGAATGTATTCTCTCTCATTCTTGCCTTGTAGTGATTGCATGGAATTACGTTCGGGCAAACCGGTATACATGTTATGAATGTACGCAAGAATCACAAGAAGTGGTGAAGGAGGTGGCAAAGAAAAGCGTGTAAAAAGCATACCTGATAGAGTCCAGTTCTTAGATTCTTGGCAGAGCATTGACCAATCGAATTGTAACTCATTGTACGAGGCCATGATGAGTACAATTCTCGCTGATAACTCCACGCACTGCGATAAGGCGGTAATTCCCTCACACCATATATATTAAACACTAATCGATTGGGAGGTATTTTGGCACATTGAGTTGAACACACAATTCACTTTCAAACTACACCGCAACAGTTCATTAACGGTTATGTCATTAAAAAAACATTAATTAATACTTTGTCCAGAGCATTTCTGATGCAGTCAAATCACTAACAAACACTCAGCGTCACTAACAATTGTCACGAGACTATGAAGTCATCTCTGGAGTGTCGAGAGTCCTTCCACACACTGACCGTTGGCCAAAAAGAGCACAGTCACACAGCCCAAGCTATCGTGCGATCAAACCGACGATCGAACGGAAAATGAAAATGAATATGATGCCACCGAGAGCCCCAAGTGGCTGCCGAGTGTGGCTTCAGTGCCGGATAATCTGGTTGTACTTCTTCTGGGCTCGTGTGTGTGCGAGGTTTTGCGGCGGAGGTATAAAATTGTGTGTGGGACACACTAAGTAATTCCAATGTTGAAAGCAAAATTATGAGTTTTATGCTCTTTTTTTTCTCCCTCTCGCCAGTCCACCTTCTGCTCACACCATTCAGTACGATTCCAGGGCAGTTCTGCACTCTTCTCTCTGTTCTGGTCAGCATCGTGTGCAACTTCCTCAATTTTCCACATCACTTTTCTCGAGCCGCTCTCTTGGGAATGCGCACACTATCAGAGGCGGATGTTTGCTGTAAATCTGCCCTGGAGGACGCAAAGTGTGCAGATCTGCGAAAAGAAGTGGGCTAGCTGAACTACTAAATGTCGCACTGAAATACCATTTATGCCTGGCAATTCTTCGTGTATGTAAATTAGGGCAGTGGATAAACTGTTGAATTAAAGAAACTGTGTGTTTCTTCATGGATATCCAATATTCATTATTTCAATATTAAATTATAGGTATATTTATTCCCTACTATGTTCAAAACTAGAACATTTCATACACTGGAGAAAAGTAAACGGGAACAGAACATTTTGATCAGCATCTCAAACAGATAAATAAATAATAGTCACAGAGAACCAGCAAATTAATTTGAACATCTCAAACAGGCAATTTTTTCTCCTTCACTTTTACTCTCTCTACCAAATTTGCAGAAATAGACAAATTGGCAATTTCAGCAGATTTTCCTTGTGATTAAATGTAGTATTAAGCAAATTTTGAATTTATTATGCCAGCAATAACTCAACTATACTAATAAAAAGTGAGCACAAATGAGAGGAATATTTTCTCCCAATAAAAACACAGTCGCCATTGTTTAACTAATAATAATGACTGTCAACAATACTTTGCGGATTCCCAAGAAATGTTTCACATTTGCAATATTTAAATCACTCTAATATGAAAGTGAAGGTCTTGCTCGTCTTAGCATATGATTTAACGAGACATTTACTCAAGCAGGCTTTTTCACAGAGCATCCCAAAAAATCCTCATTGCCGGAATTCTTCGGAGTCATTATTCAAAATAGTTTTCCTCAAGGGTTATTTTTACACAAAATACTGTGCATTCTTTCTCAAATGAGCCAATAAATAAAATGATAATTTAGTCGTTTCAGCAGAAAAAAAGTATTTATCACTTCCTGTGATCGCTTTTGGAGCCAATTTTGTGTCTCTTCTTCATTTCACCGACTGATGATTGGCAGCACAGAAGCGACAGGTATTTTTCTCCACCTTTGCCAAGAGTGGACTCCTTTCGAAAGTCTGACCATTTCTCAGTAAAAGCCAATGTGCAGAAAATTCAAATGCAGCAAGAATTTTAAGTTCGAGATTGTATTTGAAACGCGTGAATGGAAATTCAAATAAGATTTACTTGTTACCTCAATTTGTCATCTCTTCTCGTCACTTGTTTCCTGGATTTTGTCCATAATCGCATCGAGAGTTGCCAACTCATGACATTTGGCACACAGAATTCTCCCTTTGGACCGGAGGCTGTGGAGTCCCTTATCATGGCAAACAATGTGCACCAACTTGAGATTATCAGTGGTGAAGAGCTCGAGAAAATAGGCGATAATGTCAATATTTGTTGCTCTGCAGCGATGCACTTGACACTGCAGATTATTTTCCTCGCTCATCTGCTCAACGGTCTTGAGAAGAGAGGGAATCACCGATCGGGAGAGCTCAATCTGATGATCCAAGTTCCAAACTTGGAAGAGAATGAAGTTCTCCCGAGATGAGTAGGGATTTATCAAGTGATTGCTGTACTTGCAGGTTGTCTCACTCCAGAGACCCTGACAACGGAAGTCTCCGTGAGAATTACACAGAGATACGCACAAATCCTTGAAGAATTCCTCTTCCTCGAAGAGTTCCTTTATCATCCGCATGCGCTTCTTGGGAATCCCACCGTCTGGTGCGTCTTCCTCCACAATTTCATGCTTCCTTGGGTATTTCCGATCAAAGAGACAGCTAAAGTGGTCACAGCCTATGAGGAAGTACTGGAAAACCCCCAGAATCTCATTCAATTTCATCCGCGCTGTGATATTTTCTCGATAAATCTTCGATTTTGTGATTTCATCCTTCGTCTTGTAGAAATACCCTCTCACACGATCTTGGGCTCGTTTCGCCATGACTTCCTCTTTGCTGGAGAAGCGAGAATCCTGTCCGGAGAACCACTCTTTGTGTTCTTGCCTCAGACTCAGTTCTGTTTCCTTGCACTCCTTCTCTTCAAGCTGCTTCAGTGACTCCAGAAGGCTCTCTTTGTTCTCACTGATGAACTTCCGGACAATCTCACCTGCTCCCAGTAAGGCAGAATTCCTGCTCCGGATGGCCTCGAAGAGGAGTTCAAAGTCCGTCTTCACGTTGTCATGCTTTCCTGCAATGACAAAGAGTGTCTGTGCTGGGAGACTTTTGAAGTATTCTTCATCCTCCACAAGAGTTCCATCCTGGGCCAGGAAGCACTTACAGTCCTCAATCTGTAAAAGGAATGCTTTTATTAGAGGAAAATTCACTTTTGTGCGAAAAACAGTGACAGAAAGACCTGGAATTTTGCTGATGCTTTCTTCAATAAATCCCTCAAAGAAGAAACCACGATTCCATATTTTTTGGTCCTTCCCACATTTGAGATCTTGTATCCTTTAGCAGAGGATTGATTTCGCTTGAGAAAACCGAACATTTTTCCTTGAAAAACTGAGGAAAAGACTTTGTTTTCATTTCACCTTTGTTTACTATTTCACACTGGCATGCAATCTTGCATGCCATTGAATTCGTCGAAATAAATGACAAGCAAATTACACTGTTAAAATTGAATAAAATAACAAAAAATGCTAACTATTATGGAATTGGGCTTATCATGGGAATTCCGGCTAAACCTTGTAACATATTCAAAGCTGCGATTGTGGCCATGTCATTCCTTACTGATTTAGTTGCTGATCCCAAATGAGGGGTTATAACTGAAAAAAAGTCACAGATAAACATTTTTGTTAAAACACCATCTAAACAACAAATTTTCTTACAGCTGTTTGGGAGATGAAGTAGTGGATGATCTGTTGGCAAAGGTTCAGGTGTGGTGACATCTAATCCAGCGGCACAGATTTGGTTGGTCTTGAGAGCATCAACGAGAGCTTCTTGATCAATAATTTCTCCTCGGGCGACATTAATCAAAATACTAGTCGGTTTCATCTTAGCCAAAGCCTCTCTATTTATCAAATGCTCCGTTTCTGCTGTGAGAGGACAAGATATGATAATGAAGTCACTCTTCGTGAGGAGTTCCTCCAGAGAGACAAATATTGCTCCCAATTTCTCGCCCTCAGGCTTGCAATTGCGACCTGTGTAGAGGAACATTCCCACTTCAAATCCCTGAAGGCGTTTCACTATCTTCTGGCCAATTGTTCCTAAGCCAATAATCCCCACAGTGGATCCCGCAATGTCGCAACCTAAGAGCCATTGGGGTCGCTTCTCCCACTGAGATTTCATGATCGCGAGGTTTCCCTCGTGCAATCTCCTTCCCATTGTGATCATCAAGCCAACGGCCACATCGGCAACAGGATCTTTCGAAGCGATTCCTGTAAATCCGACAGAAATGTTGCGCTTCCTAGCTTCCTTCACATCAATGTGATTGTAGCCGGTGTAGTAATTTGAAATCACTTTGAGATTAGAACCGGCTTGATCGAGAATTTCTGCGTTTAATTTTTCACTACTTGCCCACATAAGAGCATCAACGCCTTTAATACTCTTCAGGATCTCTTCTCTTGTTGACCGTGGCCATCCTGTTGTGTGGATCACTTCACATCTATCCCAAATTTAATAGTTAGCGACGCGATTATAATTCATAAATCACATTTCAGTTATACCTCTGCTCTAAAATTTCTAATCCAACCCGCGGAATATCTGGTTGAGTTATCAAGACTCTTGGCCGCCAGTTGTTTGGGAAATCGGGAATACTCTTGAGCACTTCAGCGAACATCTCACTTAGACAATTTGAAGAACACTGAAGCAACTCGTTCTTCGCATGATAAGCTGACTGAAACATTCGGACTCTGCATGTTGTGTGAAAAGTCTTATCATACTGTCTATTCTATCTCATATCACCAAACGTAATAAGAAAAAACTTGGTATGCAAATTAGATTGAAATATTGAGTTCTATGTTTAAAGTAACACATGGAATTAAAATTATATTGAAGCTATAAATAAATAATTAATCTTTAGTAGTCAAATGATGTTGGTAAACTGACTTTCTCACAACATTATTATCTTAATGCCATTATGACGTTCCATAGCTTTCTGAAATATCTTTTTTTGTAATTCAAGTATCATTAAATACCTGAAAACAAAAAGTTGAGGAATAATTGGGAGCTTTTTTAGAAGGAAATGTTATGAACAAAAAATTATTTAACGCGTTATCACTTCACGTTCGCTCATATATTTTGCCATAGCCCTGAACTTAGCTGAAATTAGCTCATATACGGTTTGTGCCTCGACTAACCTAAAATGCGTTTTGTTAGCTGAGAAATAAACCGCATTTCGGCTGTTTAGAGAGGTGCTTTGGAAGATTTTCTTAAGTGATTTTCAAAACTCTTATAAATTTTATACATTTATTGAACGTAACATTTACAAATATATCATCTCTGTTGCTCATAACAAAATTTACAATTAGTACACATTGAAATTCCATTTTTTCCTGCATAACCATTCTAATCACCATTTCTAAAATTCACCTTTTGTAAGAGACAAACTTCCCAAAATATCTTTCTTTCCTTTTTCTATCTCACAGTGTTTTTTTGTTGATCTCAACGAGTGGATGTTTTACACACGCACACATCAATACAGTAATTTCTTTAAAATAATTATTTCCACCCCGCCAAAATCTCTCATCCTAACAACTAACAACATTTAGAGAGCAATTTTTCATATTTCTCCATTTCAAACTTCTACAACTTCACAGATAAATACAATTATGGATTTTTCTTCCTAAATCTTCTTCAACACCTTCTGTTTCCTCACTTCTCAACCCTTTCAATGAACAGCTTCTTGTTAATCTAACGAGTATTACACATAGAGAATCATCAATTTCATCAACTAACTTGACTTTTACAAGATCTTAATTTTTTTTCATTAAAATTTGCTTTCCAATTTTGCACAACACTTAATAAAAGGTTTCTTTTCATTTTTTTTGTCTTGGAGAAAGGCGAGATTGCAGTTAGAATTTCCCATTTTTACTTTCACGCAACATTTTTTCTTCTCATTTTTTGATGCAATCTCGTTATGGGCGAAGAGGATCACCCGCATTTTATAGAAATGGAAGCATCTTTTTGACTTAGTTTACAGCATTTTTTTTTTCTTTTTGTTATGTGTTTTATACTTGTCAATTCTGCCATCGAACAGGAAAGATACAGTCTTCTGAGCCCAGGTACCTGAAAAAGGAGGAAAAATAGACAGTTTACCATCGTTTTCATCTCCCGAGGAGGGATAAGAAATGTCACCAGAACTCACTATGTGACAATAAATCAAGGAATCACTCGATAATGACACTTAGAAACATCTTAGACATGACTGAGATAGGATTTCCTCTTTAGGTAGCCACTGCGAATGGGCGAAGCGAGAGGCAGACCAGCTCCTGCCGTGTCCTTGCTCCTGCGCCTCGCCTGCCCGGGAAGATTGAAGCAGCCCCGTGGAATGACCATCCTGGCGTTGCCCTGCGCCGGCCTGGAGCCACCATGAGCCAACAGACTGCTGAGATGCTGCGCATATCCCTCGGACAGACATGTCGCATTGCCTTGCAGCTTCTTGCTCACCTTGCCCACAATATAGATCTGCTTGGGCTTCAGTCCAATATTCGTGTACACACTTATGTCCTTGCTGCTGCCGTACGCCGTGTGAATCACCACGCCATGATTCTGCATCAGATTGTTGAGGTAGGCCGTCTTGTGGCCCAGCGGATCAGTGCTGAGTCCATCGGCAAACGACACCAAACCATGTGGGAAATTGTGTTGACTGAGCCACGACAGAACGCGCTGCTGTTGCATATCCGGGCGGCCCGTGATGAAGATCAGAAGGTAGCCCAACTCCTGCCAGTGCCGACACACATCCACGGCTCCCGCTCTCACCTTGGGATCCCTTCCCGTCACCGACATGCTGGCCGTGAAGCTCCCATCAATGCTGAAGACTACACACTCAGTGCACGGCGGAATGACGGCCAGATAAAAGTCCACCGACGTGTGATCGCCTCTCACAACCATCTTCACCGGGAAAATCCCGTATCCCATGGTCTTGTCGCCCTGCAACGTATACTGGATCCTCCCCGTTTTGTCCGTCACCTCTGTCGTCACGTGCATCCACTCGCCTCCCGGCGGATCCTTCATCAGGTGCACATCCACCTTCTCTCCGGCCAGTGTTATCATATCCAGAGGGCCATACATAAACCTCGCCAAGAGCTTCTGAGGTTCTCCCTCCTTCACAATCACATCATTCGCCCTGTGATTGGCCGTGACGTTCTTCAGCTTCACCGACGTGCGCTTCTTGATCCACTTCTCGCGCGGCTGTCCAGGCCGGAAGGAGGACACCTCCTTCTCCTCCCCCATGGCCATAGTAGTGGAGTCAAATCTCCCAATCTGACGGAGAATGAAGGCAATCACGTCGCTGCTCTCCCAGTAGCTGGCATGGAAGAGATGAGGCAGAGCATGAGCAGGGAAATTACCGAGTCCTTCAGGGCAGTAGAGAGCATAATCGAGGCGTTTTGAGCCCCACCAGCGATGTTGAACTGCAAAGAAGGACAAAGATGAGTAATCTAAGAACTACACAACAGAATCTTCCACACTCACGCGTATTGATAGTGGTGAGAGGAACATTATCTATCATTCCAGACATGGTGCTTTGCAATGAAGAGTCTGACAGCCTTCTGGCATGAAGTCCATCGCTGAACAGTTGTGGACTGGATTGAATCAATTCCACTGCAAAGGAGATCATTTAAATAGGAAAATCCCAGAAGAGAAGATCAGAAAAACTCACAGAGATGATAAGGTTGACCATTGCCAAGCGGATACTTGGCATATCTCGGCACATTGATGGGCGCCAACATGGAGAATCTCGCACTGATCAGTGGCTCGAGTCTGGAAGCGACAGGATCCGTGGGATGGAAGAGATTGTAGACTTGAGTGCATTGAGGTCTCTCAGAGCCATAACTGGCATCACTAAGTTTCCTAGCAGCCAAGACAATGGCCAGTGGACTGCCAAAGAGGAAGAGATCTCCCACTTCAAAGTGGAGCTTCGGAAGGCGAGCCTCATTGATGGATGATGAGCGTCTCCTTGGCGATGGCGCCATCAGGAGTCTGGCTGCATCCAATTCATTATTCACCAGATTGTCATCGATGAGATCCAGGGCACTGGCATCACTGCCCAGGCGTCCGGAAGTGCGACAGAGGGCGTCGTAGGCCAGAATGCCCCCCATTGAGTCCCCAATGAGAACAACCTGGCCGGTGAAGCCACATCCCTCTTCGCAGCGAAGGAAGTCAGAATATGCGAGATTCGCGGCAGTCACAGCTTGATTCACGGCGTCCTGGAACTCCTGAGTGCAGGTTGTGAGCAAAGGAATCGCCCCGATCGGCACATCAGTCATATTCGGCGAATCCGTGGTAGACGGAGATGAGTCAAAAGAGTAGGGACTCAAACTGGATAGGATTCCCAAGGCGTCAGTGCACACTGAAGGGCAGGGAACTAGTCTGATGGCCACATGGCCCACCATGGAAGGATAGTGTTGTCTCATGACACTCTCAAAAGCTCCTCGGAAGGTTGTGATGTCAGACTTCTTGGCCGCCAGATCAACATTGGCATCCAGAACACTTCCAGCGTGGAGCACGAGAATCAGAACGGACGTAGGACAAGCTGGAGGACCAGGAGAACTTGGCGGAGAGTCCGTATTGCTTCGATCAATGCTGGATGCAGTGCCAAATGTTGATCGACGAGAGCCTCGCTCAGAGGCAACGCGCTGCAGAAAGGAATGACTGAAAATGCTGTCCTCCTGATTCCTCATAGCCGCCGGTGGACTGTCCTCCTCGTCCGCCAGCAATTCCAGTGAACTCCACTTGGCCAGAGATGTAGATTCGCCAGTGTCTGCGAACATAAGTTGAAAATATTCTCAAATCTAAAAAGTACTTTTTAGGTTGGATGTTGAAATAATAAGGTAGAAAGAATAGTCAAGAAGCTCCGCCCACCCGAAAACCACGCCCAGTCGCATGTCTTTGTAGGTTAAAGTCCATAGTAATTTCCATGACGCATTTAATATGCAATAAGTGGTGTTTCAAGTGATAATGTTACTCATCTACTTATATGTTCACTGAATTTCATCTCTGAAGTGGATATTCAATTCAAAATCACTTTGTTGAAATCAATACTAATCACATCAAAATCATAATCAATCAATTTCAGTTGTCAGCAAATATTTTTTCAAGCAACGAAAAATTGTTTTGGCAGCAGAAAAATCAATCATGGCACCAATTTGTAATAAGGACTTCATGAACAGTTCCTCTTCTAATTCCATTAACTTATGAGGAACACTCAGAAATGGGAATCTCAATTTTCACAGCGAGTTTAAAAGTAATTACAACGTACAGGAAAAAGTTGGCATTGACAATAGTGGTAAAACTTTTTTAGTCAATATAAATGCATCCACCATAAAATTGTGTTTGCATATTAAAATAGCAAACATTGCCAAAACTCAAGAGACAACTATTCATAAAGTGAAATAGAGCCATAAAATCCCAAAGTCCACAAACAGACACAAAATTGAAAATCATAAAAGCCTCGTTACAAATTCATGAGTGACAATTTGACAGCGTGTAATTTATCACAACATGTGATTACATACTTTTTTAAAGAGCATATTTTTAGAGACTCACCCAGGCAATCAAAAAACTCCTCCTCAGATCCAGACTTTGAGTCCACTTCCAGTTTCTCCATTCGCCAATTGGCCACCTGAAAGTCAGGGTTGAAAGATGAGAAATATTGATTTAACATCCCAAAAATGATGCTTTTCTGAGCAGCACGCAAAACATATTCATCACGTGAATATTTCAATGATATAATTTATCACATAAAAAGAGCATGGATTTTCCATGTTTATTTACACACACACACAGTTGAAGGTTGCGTCTTCTGGGCCACACGGAAATTCTACTGAGAACTACTCATAAATTTAATTTATCGCCGGAAAGACAGAGAGAAAGTAATTGAAGTTGGGGTTTTGTGGGGAGGAGAAAATAGAAGAGGAGAAAAATTGTGAAAAGCTAAAAAAGAAAAGCTATACATGATTTTTCCATACCACCACTTTTCATCCTCTTCTTCTTCTCAAATTCTGATTTTAATTTCTGTTTTCTCTGCTCAGCAAACGAAACGGAAAGAAGGAGAACAATGCGCAAAAAATCACAGTAAAAGTTCTTTCTCAACTTACATTTTTCAAAGGGGCTTGAGATGCCAGCTAGAGTTGTGTTAGAAGTCATAGAGATAAATAAACAATTGTAAATTCAAACAATGGATAATGTTAGCGAGAGGAGAAATAACGATAAGCCAAAGTTCTGGTGCGCTTTGTTCGGACGTCACTTGATTTTCTCCATCTTTACTTTCAACATCTTCTGCCGTATAGCCAAACAATATGGTCAAGTTAATGAAATTTCATATCAGTGACACGAATCACACCAATTCCTTGACATACCGTTTCGATAAGAGGCTTTTCTCGTAAACTTTCAGCAGACAATTAAGACAGAAGTGAAAAAATGGGAACATTCTGGATCGAATAAGCAAAAGTTTGAGGAGTGAGAATTCTCCTTTGTGTTGTTACCAAAGAGAGGAAATTTTTAATTTGAAAGGAGAGAGAGAGATAAAAAGAACATTTCAGTATGATGAAAGCCAGACTGTGGAGAAGAATGTGGAAACTCACCTGCAGATCAAAACTATTCGTTGATCCCAGAGGCGATGGGAGGGCATTCTTGGGCGAGACGAACAGCTTGGCATTGGCGTACTTGGAGTTGGAATTTGCCGTGACCTCATCGGTATTTTCATCCTCTGAACTCTCCTCCACACTCGCCTCCGTCACCCCCACGGCCGGCTGACCCTCGGCCACTGTGGCCACCTCATCTGTCGCCTCCGCGGCCTCGCCCTCCACGCCCATCTTCTTCTGCAGCGCCAGTTGCGTCTGTCGCTCAATCTCACGGATGTCATCCATGGTCAGACCATGCCACTCGTCCTGCCACGCCCACGCCTGCCGATGGGCCCGCAGCATGGTTTTCCTCAGCGCCGTGTCGTGGATGAACTTCTCCAGCTTCGTCTGCATGCCCCAGTAGCGGAACTCCACGCGACACAGCTTGTAGGCGCACATGATGGCCATATTTCTGGCAGTCGGCTGCTGTTTGTTCTTCACCTTGTTCACCACCAGTCGCCGAGATCCAAACGCACACCGAGCACGCACGCAAGAAAGAGAGGAATATTAATCGTCAATACAATATTCACCAGTCCTCTCCGCCTCTGTGTGCCGCACAGTACGCGAGCAACAATGGAAAATCAATTATTGAATTGAACATCTGACGCCTGACATTCAAGCCACAAGTTCCACGCCCCCACCCCCCGCGAGGCGGCCTTGTTTTCCGGCGAGGTTGGCAAATACAAAAGGAAAATTGTGTTACTGCAATTCTCCTTCCGCGCGACTGACTCTTCTCTGACAGGCTCTCAAAACTCCAATGTTCGATTTATCTTCAAAATAAAAATTGGCACTTTTGGTGAAAACAATTCCACCGCAAGTGATTTTAATTGAAAGCCAATTGATTTATTAACAATTCACTAAACTATGAATTTTAGACAGATTAATTAAATACCACAAACGGTCCATGTGTTTTCCTGTTATGCTTATTGTTTTTCATTTGTTATACACACAACACTAATCTGTATATAATACACGATGTGAAATATAACAATAAATAGTGATATAGAGATGTGTTCTATCGCAGGCACAAAATACTAATTAGTATAGTTTTTATCACAATTGTGTTCTGTTTACGCAGAATTCATAGAGTAGCCTTCAGGGAAGCTTCACATAATACGCTATATTTGATTATGAAATCCCCACTGAAATCCCAATTTTCAGTGTTGTTAATTAACAATCCATGCAACCAATAAGCTCTGTCGCCGCTTCTCATCTCTAAAATGGCTTTAATCAGAGTAGGTAATCGAGGTAATCTGACTAGGGCACAATCAAATGATGCTCAGGCGGAGTTCAATTCAAAATTGAATAATGAATCTCAGTATCATAAATCAGGAAAGATATCACTGAGTAGCGAAGCGACTGAGTTCCAATTTTATTGTAGGTACAGATATGTAGAATGTGGTCAATAATGAATTGAATTGCTCGAGAATTTGATATAGGAATTTACCTCATTCCAGTACTCATCGATCCACCCATCCTGCAGTGGGCCACGGGAGGTCTTCTGCGAGATGTACAGCTTCGGATCCTCCTCCCTGACGTAATCCGCACCGTACAGCTGGTCCTTGACGATGTCAATCACGTCCACTTGGCGATTTCTCAGGTCTCCACCCGTGAGCTTAAACACATTCTCCTGGTCACCATTGTCCGGGAAGTAGTAAGTCTCAATCTCCAGTGAGAGTTTCTCCATGAAGGGACAAGTGTAGCGAGTCTTGGTGTATGGATAGGCATTCCACGCCTCCTCCTCAACTATCAGAGCATTCTTGGGCAACAGACCCTTTATCCAACCCGGCAAGTGACTCCCCACATGGTAGATCTTCCTCGTGTACTGACCATTTCCGCCCGGACCGTCAACATACGGCTCATTCACGATTATTTCCACACCACTTCCGGCCCCACTGCTCTCATCGCGGCTCTTTTTCTGCAATAGAAAACACCATCGAGTCATAAATAAGTGATTATGAGGGAAAAAATATTCACAGTGAGGTGAAAATTGAGGCAATTCGTGTGGTGCTTTAGTGAAAATTGACTGTTTGCACATTGAATACAAATTATCTCACACCACCCATTGAAAAATCTCACACACCCATAACATATCTAATTAATGGCAATCCTTTGATAAATCCATGATACTCACAGCAATCATATAGAGTTGAGCAATACGATACTCCTCCACCGTGAGGGGCAGAGGAATTCTGTATTCTTTAATCAGCATATTTGATTATGAGAATATTCACAGCTTTCGCAAAAATCCACAGAGAGATGAAATCTTTTTTTTTTCTCAAACGTCAATTCCTCCTGGAACGAGAAGTGAATATTCTTGTCCCAGATGTCCCTGGCAAACTTTCTTGTTGCCTCTTTTTTCTTCTTCTCCTTCTTTTACCCTCTACACACAGGATAATCTGCAGAGTATGTCTCTCCTCTTTGGTTTGATGCTTTCGCCCTGTTTAACTATTACCGAGGCGCATTTGACAGGGATCAATCCCTGGTTCCTCATCATCACCACGTCCTCATGTCGTCCTTTAGGTGGGAGTTCGTCTCAAAATCTTATCTGAAACAACAAGATGGAAAACATTAATTGACAATACAATCTTACCGTACAATTGAATGCATGCATTTAATGTATTTCTGTTATTCAAATACATCTTTCATTGTCTGGGAAAATCATGAATCACTCGTGCTTATCCAAATCTTATCTACACGGAGAGAGAGGGAGAAAAAATCGTGACAAATCAACTTTGATTTATGGAAATTCCTTACAATTTTCCACAACACTCTCCATCATCTTCAACTATGATTTGCATTTTACGTGCAAAGTCAAACTAATGGAAAATAACAGAGAGAAGATTGACGAGAGACAATTGGAGAAATTAGTTTTTCCGCCCAAGTACACGCTCCTTATGCCCTCCCACCCACTCCCCACCCCAAGCATTAGTGTGATGAAAAGACCACAGCTGAATGAGAAGATGGGCCAAAGAAGAGAGCTGGCAGCAAAAAGGCAAAATGAGCGTAATTCGTATTTGTGTCCCAATAATTGTATAAGTCAGTCTCTGTGTGTTTTCTCTTCCTAAGCAATTCACTAATTCAATTAACAGACTAAAAAGCTTATGTGTGTTTCGAAAGCTTTTGGAGTCTCTCATTGGCAGCCTTGAGAATTTCTTCCAGGGCTAGTGAGCGCGCGTATTATTCAAATTGCCATTTAGTTTTCCACCCATTCAGACATTCATACCCACATTGTACTGAGGCTAAGCCCCCGTTTTGCATTATACCAATTAATTTCCATAGAAAAAGAAATATACACACATTCCCCCCATTTGCGGGGTGTAAGCACTTTTTCACCACCTTCCTCGTCATTTTTCTCTCTGGCGGGGGGCCTGAGAAGGCCACCCGTTGGGGATAAAAATGTCCCATGGGGAGCGGTTGAAGCTCGCAGCGCGCTGTCGGGGAAAATATATATTCTCCCTCTGACTCAAATTATAATGTGTGATGCACAATCGATGGCATTATATTGAAGGGAAATATGAAATTCCATTCATGTAGAAAATTACTCGAGTATTTCTGCCACTCAACCTCATCCCCCCATTCACACCCCTTCATTGGGGTTTCTCTCGTGTTTTTCACATCTTTTTCACCCCTTTGAGCTGTGCTCTTGCTCGCTCTCGCTCTCACACCTTCCCCCAAAGCCCACATTCCCAGCCCGAAAGCCCTCAACTATATTAACTCATATCTCTCAAGAGGAAAGCCTCACAACTTATCGATATGGCAATTATCCATCCAGGGAGAATCTCTCAATTAAATCACCACGCAAAAGCTCATGTTTCTCCAACATGTCTTCATCGCAGCTCGGCAACTTTGCCAAGACACATACACACACTGTCTTGACGCCCTGCCAACATCTTCCAAGAGCTCGCAATTAAATCTTCTAGATGTTGATGACATTAACAAATCATAAATTGCACATACTCAACTTCGCACTTTCGTCATACTCTCAACTTCAACCACTTTATCTTCACACGAGTATCACTACAGAGACTCTAGACTCACTTTTGCAATTGCTCCATTGAGGATCCGCAGCACCTTCCCAAATTCTCCCAACTCAATCAAGTCTTGCAGTCGCACACAGAGTGATTTGCTCCTGCACTTTGAGGTGACTCCTCAAGGGGACCTTCCCGCCACCAGAACAACCCTAAACGCCCAAGCTCTTGGGCGCAGCACCACAGATTTTCCACCCAACAACTTGGCCAGAAAGTACGAGACTGATGTGCAAAATTGTCTCTCTCTCAGCCCGTATTTCTGTGCCAGGGACAACAAACATTGGGAGAACGCGCGCAAATCGCTCACAGACACACTTTCCCATGGAGGAAGCGTAAGCATTGGATTTTCAACGCCTGGGCGCCTGTGTAGGGAAAAACTGGGGAAAAACAGAGAGCGAGAGAGAAACTGCTCATGAAGGGGCTTTCAAATTAAACCCACTCTAAACTACAAGTTGATCAATTCAAATGCTGTTCAAATAAAGACTTTATCAGTGAAAAATGTCTCTGTCTCTTAATCAAATATCCACGACAGTTTCCTAAAATTGTATATATTTCTCTACAATTGATCGCCTTCTGAACTTTACAATCTCACTGTTTTCCCTCATTTCGTCACAACTCCACTTTCTCTCTCTCTCTCCCTCTCCATCGCGAGAGAGAAAATCCCTATATTTACTTGCTACTGAATCCAATTCAACTCTCCTCAATACTATTGCTCCTGTGTGAGTGAGAGATGCCATGAGAAAACTGCTGCGGACGCGGTGAGATGCGAGCGGGAAGTTATGATGAAAACGACAATGACGTCAATGAGAAGCAAGTCGGTGGATTGATGATGGAGAACGAGCGAAAGAGATGCATTCAGATTCCTCTACCCGACGAACCATGTCACACATGTATCTCATTGCTCCGAAAAATCGACATGCTCCCCTAATGATCCCCAAACGCTCTCACCCCTACGCATTAATTAGAAATTCATACAGTCTCTTCGAACTCTGTTCCCCCACCCCCGCCAAAAAAAGAAAGAAAATTAAAGAAACACTCTCATATACATTTTTTTTTCTTCGGTAGCTGTGGAAATCGGATAAAAAAAATTGTATTAATAACGAGAAGAATTTCAGTATTACAGCACTTTTGCGTGATTTTCATGCGAGGAGAGCAAACAAAAAGTGTCTCGAGAATGCGGCTTTTTTGTACACATAACACGCGGATAAGAAGGGAGAGAGTGTGAGGAGAGAAACAGCAGCAAATAAAAATTCTTTATCTCCCTCTTCTTGGCAAATAAAAATTTATGATAGAAATACACATGGATATAGGAAGCTTCGATGAAATTAAGATTTTTTCCCCAACATGTGACATGTTGAGGGCGAAATGGTCATAAGTCATGTTATTTGTTATAACATAAAAGGCAAAACCTTCAAAGCCCGATAAAACAATTTGATACGTCCCAAAAACAACATGATTAATAGCTTTCCTATTCAACTGAGATTAAAGTAATCTCGAGGAAACAATATACAAATGTATTCCAATGCTTAATATCCATTCACTTGATTTTTTTAATGTTGCTTTCTTCGCACATTCACGACTGTATAATGCAAAATAATTGATAAGAACTTTAAGTGTGATGATTCATTTCGGATTCATAAAAATTCTGTTGAAAAAATAAATTTTCTACAAGGTCTTTTAACCTAATATAATTAAGCAAATCAATTGTCGCATTTTCATTATAAAGCATAAAGATATTTTCAACCATTGTCTTGTCAATTGGTTCAATCATTGAACCGCCAATTACCAGTTATTGTTCGAAGAAAATGACAAAGTGTCTAATGATTAAAAATTCCACATTTTACCCCTCTTCCATAAATTGCATGTGCTTTTGTGTACATCAAAATCAATAACTTTGTATCGAAACACTGCTCCTCATTTCAGACTATTCAACCTGCGAGCAACCTTGAGTTATCTGTGTTTCCTCTGTCTTCCGAGAATATTCAACTAAGGCCCAATGTTGTGCCAGTCGCACCTCTGCTGTATTGGCTTCCTCCTTACTCCCTTATCGAGCACGTACGATAATTTTGCATAAACAACAATGAGAGCGTGTCTTGCAAACCCCTTCAAACTGCCAATATCTTATCAATGGAGTGGATTTTGAAATTGTTGGATAATTCAATCTCTCCACCAGGGAAAATCCTCACTTCTTGTCACTCTTACGTAATGCCATTTTTCCATTCCGATGCTCGCCACAAAAGGTGGCAAAAGGAATGCGAGAATTATATATTTTTCGTCGTTTGTGCGAGGCAGAAAGAACCCCTTTTTTTAGTCCCCTGCTCAGACATTCACCGTATCTTTTTTCCCACTTCTTCTCCACCAAAGCGCCAAAATATCCCGGCAGGAGGAATATAACCCACCCCAACAGAAGCTGGAGTGCAGAATGTGAAAATATATGTGAAGTTTTCACCTTTGGCATTTACCATTGCGCATGATTTTCCCATTTTTCCCAACTCAGTCGCCTCTCCAGCTGCCCATCATCTGATGAAAGCTCCACGCGGGGATGCTTGAGGGCATGTGAGAAGGAGACTCCATCGCGAGATGGTGAAATAGAGGAGGAAAAAACCAAAGCGTAGTAATCTTTTGAAAGGTCACACAATTCCACATGTCTTCTGTGTAGTGTTCTTCTGTTTCCACTGTAGAATCTTCTCTCTAAATCCACAAATCCCCTCTTGTTTGCAAACATGTTAGAAAAATGGTATAAAACTGCAACGTATCTGGCGAAACAGTAGAGGAATGTGGGCTCAATGTGAACAATAGTTTCAATTTTGGATTTCTAAGTGCACTTGTTATTCAAACAAGATGCAGCAGTAAAGTGAATAAAGTAAATTAAAGTTAAGGTAAAATAAGCAAAATTGTAAATTTTCCATTCAGCTTTAATTTAAAGTGAAATACACCCACTTTCCCCTACTTGCATACATTTGTGAGATAAGAAAATACGAAGACAAGAATTAAAGATTAGTTGACATAAGACATTTCAAAGGAAATCCTTTTCAAAAATTTCTTTGCTTTATTTCCTTCAATCTCCCCAGCAAATTTTCCTTTGCATGATTGGCCCTTTTTCCGAACTTTATTCGCGCGTTCTTTATGGTGAAAACACAGCATTTGTAATTTGTAATTTGTCCACGATCATCTCTTTCTTCTCCACGCGTTTCGTGTATTTTCCTTCCTACTCGCACAGTCGCTGTCTCGACATGTCAGAGTCAGACGCTGACAGAGTAGGAAGGAAAATACACGAAACGCGAGGGGAAGAAAGAGATGATCGCGGACAAATTACAAATTACAAATGCTGTGTTTTCACCATTAGCAATAATTTGTTTACTCAATGGCAAAAATAAAGTGATGAATCATTCTAAATTAGATTTCTCTTATCACCTCCGCGCACATTGTCTGATATTGAGCCTCCTTTTTCTCCCTCAAGAGATAAGGTGTGCCTTATCGCGTTCAGTGTCAATCAGTCAGCCAGCAAGATCAGTAGTGAGAGAAGAATTTCGCGCCTTCCAGCCCACAAAATTCCAATCAAGAGCCTCAAGATGGGCGACAAGGAGTTCAACGAGCTCGTCTTCTACGTGTCCGGGATGAAGCAGCAGATGAACAGGCAGGAGAGCATTATCCAGATGCAGAACGGGAGGATCGAAGAGCTGGGCAGAGTGATTGACGAGCTGGCGTGGCAACTCAGGGACTTGCGGGCGGCCGTGCGGGAAGTGAGGGAGTATCAAGTGAGGAATGCCAAGTCGAAGATCTACGAGAACGCCGAAGGCGTGAGCTTGCGGAAACAGGTTATGCTGTCCGAGAACAGGAAGTGCAGCGTCCGTCCGGGCAGTTCCATGAGACTCACGGACTCCCTGAACGAGGGAGATGGAATTTATGAGCCCATCAATTTCCCCCGGAGAGATTACACGGCTCAACAAAGTGATTCAATGTGCAACCGCCTGTCCATCCTCTCGACCGTGTCCGAGGACTCCTTAAACCAACCCTCGGACGTCCAAGACAACCGAGTCGAGAGAGCCTCATCCCTGGAAACCCTCTTCCGGACGTTCCAAGTGAGTCCCGGGAAGGACACGCCCATCGATACAGGAGGCTCGGACAGGAAGTAGTTTCAACAATTCATCACAGCTGGAAAACTCTCGCGAAATCCGAGAAGAAAACAGACATTGTTTACATTCTCTTACAAGAAGCTGTGGATTCGGGAAATCCATTGCCAGACGCTTTCTCAACTCATCACCCCATTAAGTCCATAACACGCCGAACAGACTCAACCTTTATAACAGTTGAGGGACTTTTTTCGAGCGGGGACTTCTCTCTAGGGCACTCGCTCTAAGACCCTTTTTTGCTCTAACGCTTTTGAGCTTCCGTGCTTCTGTGCTACAGTTAAGCAGACAGCGCCGATTTTAATGCTAAACGCGGCGCTATCGGCAATTACTCAGTTATACTTTTCAGACAGCAAAGTATTGTGGGAATCCATATAAAATCTCTCAAATTTATAATCTTGTGCTCCGTCATAGCCAAAAACACGTATTTGAAGTGCATTATATGCAGTATTTTTATTTCTCTTATTTTCCTCACAATATTTAAATTATAAAAAATCTTAAACATTATTTTATGTGCAAGCTCATGCATTAAATGCTAATTTTTACATGATTTTTCTTAGATAATTTATTCAAAAATTTAAAGATCGTGATTCATTATATTGCAAATCCTGTATTTAATACCGCGGATGGCGAATTTTCCGAATAAACGCTAGCGACAGCGTCAGCGAGATCTAGAGCCGGGAATCAGGTTGAATTAAACTCAATCAAAAAGCGTTGATCTTTATCCGCGGTGTCTTTTGGTCCAGGAAAGTACAGAAGGTGAACTGGTACTGCAATATTCTGGATAGATCTTGGAAGAATTCCCCTGAAAATATCATAATCATTAACTTCTAATCATGATTTAATTTGATTTTAATTACTCACCGTAAATTTTAATTCGGGACGAAGGATCTCCTGATAAAAACTGATGATTTGCCTCGCTCAGCGTCTAACGCGTGTTCTCGTGTTGTTTCTAAATCAGTTCACAGTGATTCTTTTCCTCCAGAAATCGTCCTATTTCAGTTTGTCAGCAATTCATTGGCGTGATGCTGAAGAATATGCGCACGGAAGATGTTCTTCGGCAATTTCTCTCTGAGCTCATCTTCTGCAACTCGCCTTGCAGTTGACCGGCCTTTATCACTAATCCTTCGCAGAAGATGCAGCTTTTTATCCGGAAACATCTTCCACTCTCACTTCTCTGCAATATTCTTCACGTCTTGTTCACACATTTCACGAAAAACTAAATATTTCTTGCCAATTTCCAAAATATTGGCCTCGGAGTGACGTTCAAACGAATTGGCACAAGAGTAGAACAGTCCGACGAGTGCCGAGCGGCTGTGCTAATCACCCGAGCTGTGACGACACTTGAAAAAGGCACCCTACAGTGTCGATTCTCTTTTTCACTCTGCCACACAGCTGAGTATATTAACATGTTTTTCACGAAAGTGAGAATTTTCACGGTGAAAATTCCTATGAAACGTTAAATAAGTGCAGAGCGAAGGTGATCTGATCGTTTTCCGCGATCTTCCCGAGCAAAAATTGGCCGAAATAGGCATTTTGGGAAAAAAGGTCCCGCAAGGGCGTAAAAAAGTCCCGGGTCTGTGTAATCAATGTAAAAAGCCCAGTCTGTTCGGGGTGTAAATATCGAGATAATTGCACTAAAAGCGTCTACAAAAGCCATTATTTATGAGAGAAAAGTGTAAATAATGCCTGGTATTCAGCCACATTCCATTGACAACTTCTCGATTTTCATACAAATACACGCTATTTAACTCCACAATTCTGATGTTTTCCTTATCACTGATGACTTACCTGCGCTTTTCTATCGTGAGAACATGTTTTTCTGCCAAGGAAAACTCCCGCGGACACAAAATCTGCACTTTTCACTTCAACATCCACCGGAACACCAAACAAATTAGACGTCACAATTAATACCCATTTCGCCGTGGGGCGTTTTCGATGGCGGCGAATTCATGCGAAATCACACACGGCGCGTAATTTCAAACGAACAAAAACCGATATAAAAATTCATTAAAACTCCCCTGAAAGATCTGGCCGTGATTAGTAAACGATGGCTGAGAATTCAGATCAATTCCAAGCATCAAACTCGATTAAACCGAACAACGGTGAAGTTCTTAAAGCCAACACGGCTGGTAAAAGGCTGCAGAAAGATCTGCAGAAGTTGATGATGAGCGCTGTGAAGGGCATCTCAGCTTTCCCAGATGGTGAGAACATTTTCAAGTGGGTGGCGACCATCTGGGGCCCAGAGGACACTGTCTACACTGGCCACAAGTATAGACTGCAGCTGGAATTCGCGGATTCCTATCCACTCTCTGCGCCAAATGTTAAGTTCCTCACGCCGTGCTTCCATCCCAACATTGGCCCTGACGGTGTGATCTGCCTGGACGTTCTGCAGGACAAGTGGTCCGTTCTCTATGACGTCCAGACGATTTTGCTCTCCATACAGTGTCTTCTGGGCGATCCCAACATTGAAAGTCCTCTCAACGCGGAAGCTTCAACGCTGTGGACGAATCGCGTGCAGTACAAGAAGCACCTTGATGAGTTCTATGAGAAGAACAGAGACGTTTTCCGTGCCTGATGGTTTCGCTGTTTGAAATCAAATTCCTCGTTAATGCTAACTTGATTCTGAAATACATTTCTGAATGCGAATAAATACATTCTACAATTTGTATTAATATAATTTTAGCGAAAATACATTAAGAATTTCCTTGAATTCCCCACAATTAGCTTTAGGAATTCAGAACAATGAAGTAAAATATTTATAAAAAGGCAGGATAAATATAATAAGTAATTTTTCAGGGACTCTTCATGCCTAAAGTCCATTTAGTATTCGTCTTGGGCGTGTAAAATACCAAAAACTGTCCTTAATTCATGTAAAAAGCGCCTCATAAATTAATCTCATTTGGAGAGCTTTGGAATGATGCAATTCTTCTCTTCGGGCTATAGTACACCTCACTTGCCTTCGCTGGGGCTCTCTGACTCCTCGTCGAAGCCACTGACATCCTCAATGATGCTCACGTCCTCGTCGTCGACGAAGCTGTCCTTCTCCACCGACGTCGTGGAGACTTCCTCGTGCTTCGGCGACTCGCTGAGTGGGGTGAACATCTTGATGTTGCGGTATTTGTCCCTGGCCTCGTCGATCCACGTGGTGTCCGACCAGTGGTACCAGCTGAGCAGCAGGATGAGGAGGATGATGAAGAGGTTGGTGCTGATGCCTACTGTAGCAGACAGTATTGGCCAATGAAACATAAAGAAGCGCAGGCCGCTGAGCTGCGCCGTAATCTGCAGGTTCACCTCATAGAACTGCACGGCCTTGTTCTGGATCTCCACGTAGATGTCCGTCACGGGATACGTCTTCTCGTCCAGATAGTCGGAGAAGAGCTCCACAGGGATGATTTGCTTCTGCTCCCGCAGTCCGAGGATCAGCAGAGGCGACATCACCCAGGTGATCAGGCTGTTGAGGAGTGGCGATTTGTACCGCAGCATCGCTGAGCGACAGGAATGACCTCGAAGACTCGTGCTTTGGTCTCGCATCTCGGCGCAGACCATGAACATCCCCACGTCCTGATTCTGAGGCGACTCTGGCATGTCAATGTTCACCAGCACTTTGTACGGCTGACCCACCATCAGCAGCTGCTGCTTCTTCGTCAAGGACACGTGAGCTGAAGGATATGAACACGGACCTTGCACGTTGCAGGTTCTGCGGAAGCAAAAACGGTCGATTAAAGCTGGAAAATCTCTCTGAAACCCATCCCAAACTCACTCAAATTGCATGTGAACGGGTCTCATGTGAGCGATGGCCGGCATGTAGGTGTAGTAGAAGGTGATGTACATGAAGACAGCCGTCCAGATGACCACGGCCCCGGCAAAGAACACTATCAGAGCCTTCAGCAACAGCTCCCGGACATTGTTCACACCCTCCGCGGTGCGGTGTTTGTAGTGAAGGAAGAGAGAGAAGGCGAAATCGTTCGCTGGCTTTACGATAAAGTTCCGGATGACTCCAAACGGATCCACCAGGTTCAACAGCATCCGATACAATCCCATGGTAGCTTTTGGTTACACTGGCGTGGCACTGTTAGCAATTTTCTCCATCACTCACTGTTATCACACCCAGAATATCTTGTGGCATTTCTCGAGCTGTGTCGTCGACAACACACCATAATCTCAAAGGTCATCTCCGGCAGACACAACGTCCCACAATGTCCGGGGATGTGAGAATTGTCAAGGAAGTGAGGTTATGGCGCCACGAGAGCTTTTTCGAAATTGCGCGTTTTCCGAAAAAGTACTGCGAATTGCGCCAAAATGTTTGAAAATTTGACTGTTTCTACATAAATTTATTGATACAGTTTTTGTGCTGATGCGACTCCCAATTGGATCCGTAAAGCCACGAGTTTTCCTGTCAAGAGAGAGAAGAGGTAATTATTTAATTTGTTTGTGAATTTCAAGAATATTTTTAGTTTCTATCAATTCCTCTTCGCTATTTTCATTGAATAATCTTCCCTTGTCCTTTTCTAGTTTTCCTAATTCTGCCACAACTTCAAGATCTACTCGCCCGGGAAATCATATAATGCTAGAGATCTATTCGTGTACCATTTGCTGAGACGAAGCTCCCAAGTAGTCGACAGTTGAATAGTAGGGCGAGTAGTTCTGATATGAGTTCGCAACGTTGCCAATGGACGACACTTGACAGGGGTTGGAGGCTGCCGGCGACCAAATGAAGCTCCCATTAGTGGAAGTGGTGGTCGTGAAGTGTCCCTGAGTGGCATAAAATAGAGACATTAATTCCTGAAATGGCATTCGGAGAATGGCTGGAGATCTTACTGGTGAGCTCGTGAGAAGGAATTGACTGTGACTCGTTAATTTACTCGATGTTGACGATTCATTGGTGGGATTTGGGACTGTCTCTGAAGAGCTGTAATCCATGTCAATTCGTTTTTAGTGTTTTCATTTTGATTATACTTTTCTGTGCCTCTATCAAATTAATATGGTGTCACTCTGGTTCTGTGGCGTCGCTTAGAATTACTGACCTTGTTGTGTTCTTAACACTACTTGTGGCCACTTTAGTCACTGGAGGGGTCTTAGTGATTTTTCCAACGTGAGACTTCTTCACTCGTGTCGATTCTGCACCATTTGATACTGCTATATTGGTGATTGTGGTAAGGAGATTCGTCTGTTGATTCTGCTTCTGTTGCTGTCGACACTTGGCTCGTCGATTTTTGAACCAGACCTTAATCATATTAATGGTCACAGAGATTTAATATATATATGGGTCGTTTTTGTCATTCGACAGCGTGTGTGGAATGATTCTCTGGCCTTTACAAAGAGGGGGCAAACTAAAGTCACGTTCCAGAGACGTGAGAATGAATTCATTTGGGAATCAATGTGAAAGGAATATCCAATTCTGCTTCTATTCATTTTTATGAGTATGATTTTCATTGAGGACTCGCAACATCACAAGTCACAAAGCCAGGATCGGAAGGATGCGTTACCTGAACCCTCGACTCGGGCAAATTGATCTTAAGCGCCACTTCTTCCCGCATGAAGATGTCTGGATAACGAGTTCGGCCAAACAGTGACTCCAGGATGTCCAGTTGAGCTCGGGAAAACGTTGTTCTCTCCCTTCTTTGCTTCCTCGGATGATTGCCTGCAAAAAGTCATGCAAATCTTGTTATTCAGAGTAGTTTGTGGCGTAGAGAATCATGCATCTAGATTGGGTGATAATCCCACGCTAGCAATGCGGAGAGGATGAGTTAATTTCGTCAGCAAATATTGATGAGATTGGCCTCGAAAGGGTGCTCGTCCTCGAAGAAAAATGACGCGTATGCTAAATAGTCTGCTCGCCACGTGAAAGAGGGACGAAATCACTTAATTTTTAGCACGTGCATGACGATTGAGGAGTTAATCTGTTGGCTAAATAAAGTGCAGGAAGCGCTGCTTCACCCTCACCCGGCGGATATCCCATGGAATGGAAAGTGTCCATAAGTCCCATTTGGTACGGACTGGCGTGATGATGACCCTTGAAGTTGAGATATGATGACATTCCGGTGACGCTCATGTTGCCAATTCCGCCCACTGCTTGGCCAGAGAAGGTGGAAAATGTCAAGTCGCTTTCAGGGGTGCAGCGACTGTAAAAATACGAGATAAGAAAGAAAATTATCCATTAAGATTTTTCTGGATATCATTCACGACAATATTCAATGTTTACTCATCAACTGATAGAACAATTAATTTATAAAATCGTTCTGTATCTGCAGACCGTAAATGAATCTTTTACTTTGCAAATGAATCGAAAGGAATCACACCTAATAAAAATATCTTTTTATTTTTCCACCAAATTCTCACAATTTGAAATGATTTTTCATGGAGTGACCGGATTAAAAATTATATTTTGTTGCCTCTGACAGTATTTTTTTTGCTCTTCTCTTTATCACGCAGTCCAGAAAAAGTCCTCCTATAGCAGCTTTGCTGTGTACACTTTAATCGTGATTTCTCTACCAGTGGCAAGAATATTCTTTGATTTCTTCTTGTATACCATGTAGCAATATGTGAACTTTATAATATTTTTTCCACCCGTCGAAGTTTCCAGCAGAAAAAGAGCGAGATGGTGAGAGGATTATTCTTTAATAACCCCCCTTAAAGAGTTTCAAATTTCTCCATAAAATACCCAATCCGAGACACATTTCTCGTCTCTTTGGCTCTTTTTTCTTCACATCATTATTTTTCTCTCAATCGCGCGCTCTGTCTTTTTGTGCTTTTAATTGTACCTCCGCTGGACTTGGAAGCTTTGAGATTAATGCGAGCATTATTTGTTTTTAGGTGAATTTTTTTTCTCCAAGATACCTAATCTCGTCGGATTATGTTTGATGAAAATTGCCCCCTTTTATTGATAATAAAAACACACAGAGTGAACTTCAGATTCCTCCTCACTTGATTTGTCAGTGTCTCGCTTGGCGGGAGAATGAGAGGCAGTCGATGATCGCATTTGGAACTAATTGACCAAAGATGTGCTGGGCTGATAACTTTGATTCCTCGTTGCCCGAGTTGTTCTGCTCAAGTACCTTTTTAATTTGTCCATTTGGCATCAATCAACTGTTACGTGGGACGCAAAGTGCGCGCCCCTTGTTATCGTCCTCGCTCGGCACTTCAATGGGACTCTCAGTTGTTCGAGATCCTGGGGGTGAGACTGCATATCAGGAGCGTTGAATTTAAAATCGTGATCCCTCGTTAATTGCAAACATCTACAGGGAATTATAGTAGTTCGGATGTGCAGCATTTGTTCTCAAGAGCTCACGCAAGTGATGAGTTGAAGTTGAAAATGCGGAATGCTAAATATCCACTCTTGCCCTGCGCTCTCTAATTGATGGTGCCGAGGAGATAAATTGTCCGTGAATGAGGCAAAATAACTAGAGGATTTTCTGCATAAAGCCAATTATTTTTATGGACTTGCCCTCGTTGTCTAGGAGCTGCAAATCCCTATTCTTTCCTTCCACTCTCCCACTGAATGTAGTTCAATTAGTGCTTTCTGAGAACAAGAAGCTACATAGCGCAGACTTGATGGAAATTCACATCCCGGAAGCGCGTATAGGAGAAAAACTCACCTCGAATGTAATCCATTTGTCCACATTTCAGTCTATGATTTTCTCTGTAGGCTCAGCAAAACCGATTTTTCAACTAGTCCTTCTCATCTAAGTTCTTCCACTCGTGATTTCCTCCAGTTTTTCCTTGGCACATAATGAGAAGAGGGATGAAATGAGCAACTTGTATTTTTTTTCACTACACGATTATTGCAAACTCTCAAGTCCACAAGTACTGAAAGTATATTACAAAACGGTCCACTAGAGAGTTCGAAATGAAAATTTCTACAATGCTTATCGATATTCTAAAGTGTTAATAACTAGACCACATGTGGTGGTGTTTGGGACTGAAAAGAGTCTGTAATTGTTCTGTCGCTTGAATTTGATGATCACTTGACTGCTCAATGGGGTGTGTATTTCACTGAAAATTGCACCGCACTTGCCAATAGCAAGGAAAGAAGTGATTTTGTCTGGTTGACTTGAGGATGTTTGATGTTGGGGAGAAAAGCCATGTTATTAATTTCACTTTGTTCATGCCAACCAGGGATGAATATATTGAGGAGAACGGTTCGTTGAGAGGCAAATTTAATGAAATAACTCTCCATGCTTGTGAATATATATGTAGTTTTGTGATGGCAAAAGGGAAAATGTTGCTTTTGATGAAATTCCTCGTGAGCCAGTGTGAGGACTTATATTTGTCTTTCTATACTGTTGTGATTGCTGCTGGTGGGATGGATTTAGTGTCACCTGTTTTCAGTTATATTAGCATTCACACCTACATAGCTCTATATAAAGTAATCTCAATAGATATACACCGGCAACCCCTAATACAGCCATTATACACATGGTATTATTTGAAGTATTTTCCAACATAAACAATCAACACTGGGGAGATACAACACGGCGAGGATGTGGAATGGAAAATGCCTGTGGGGGAAGATTTAAAATTTCACATTTAATTTAATTGAAGTGCAAATGGCATAGAATTATAGCCATCATCATCTCTCACTCCATTCCAGTGTTTCGGCTTTTTTACTTCACATTTTCAATTACTGGGCGAGGTGTTTGTAAATTGTTTGTATTTGTGTAAATATTATGCGAAGTGAAAATCTCTTGCCATTAGCAATATTAAATGTTATTTCGTTTAATGTCAATTTTCATGTCAATATCACTTTGTGTACCGTGGAAAGAGATTTGGAATATATTAATAAAATATCCAACATTTCCTGTAATTAATTCAACTGCAATTTTACTGAGCGTACAAACGCTGTCCAGATTATGAAACATGATGAGTTACCTAATTATTGGGAAGGACATGAAGAAACGACAAGTGAATATCTGTGGAGTGACACTGATTCTCTGGCTTTTCTAAAAGGTGGCGCTTAATGAAATGTGGTGTACTGTCTTCCGAACACATTTTGCTTATTTTATTCTCCATATATTAATCTCACGCTGCTTTCCCGAGTGATATTTATACATTTCCACCCACACTTTTCATCACCTTTGAAAATTAATTACACTTTTGCGTGGTACAACAGGATTAAAATTTAATTTGTTAGTTTGTTTTCAATGTTTTATCCTTTTAAAACTCCTTTCACTTCGTCGGAAGTCGAGATTTAGTGCAAATTTATAGGAATAATTTTACAGTTTTGTAATTTTTCTGTTTTCTCATTTTCACTGGAAAAACCTTGATGATAATCTACTGGTGAATCTGCCTCAGAAAGTTTTGGTGGTTTTCAAGCAATACAATTGTACTTTGAATACTTCAGTAGACTGTATTTGGTAAAAAGTGTCAACACTATGGACGCAGACAGAGAGAGGTAAAAGTTTTCCGTGGTGTTTTTCGGCGGGGAAAATTCATCAACTATTTTCAAAGTGGAAATCTACTAAAGATGACTCCCTTCTCTCGCACGGGCTAAAACTTTTCCTCCCGCCATCAGAGAACACTCAGGAAAAAGTTGGAGCACTTTGGCAATATAACATCCTTTCCTCTCTTTCCAGTCCATCTCTCGTGATATATGATCATTGCCGAGGAGCGAAGGAGACGTGTGAGTTTGAAAATTTGGCTCCTGTGTTATTGCTTTTCCACTTCTTTTGTTCTTCTTCCCATCCATTTGCTAGACCCCTTATTATATGGTGTTGAAGTACACAAAGCGCCTTTCTTTTCTCGATATTTTCCTCTTCTGCACACTTTCACCATTGTGACTCCAAATGACTCCTCGACTGGCTGTTCTTGTCTCTCTCTCTCGCGCACTGCGAGTGGGAGAATTGCGAAATTGTGGGGAGAAATAGCGTAGCTTAGAGGATTTCCCGGAAACGCATGCGAAGTAAGTTCTTAGAAAAAATGCTGGGTATATGCCATGGGGAAAAGGGAGTACATAAAGCTGAGTATGTTTGTTAGACAAGGATTCAGCCTCTCGTTTTCCGACTCGCGTTGTCTGTAATCACACTGCTAGAAAGTATAGCTCATGAACTTTCCATCTTATCATAATTCAGTTATTTGATTAACATTGCATATATATATTGAATTGCGTTGGAGGCAAAAAGGATAAATTTATCAATTTGTCTACGAATATTTTGCGTATTACTCACAAGTATCGCAACTTTCATCAGAGTACAGAGCATCAAAAGTTTATCAATGCTGTGAAAATTGATGAAATACACTGCGCAATCGTGCTCCATCACGAACGAATTTTCACTCTGCATTTGTATGGAATGCTGTACATAGCATTTTTCCCATGAAACTTTCATTTAGCCCTGCAACTTTTTCCCAGCGTGTTGTGCCAATTAGCAATATTTAATGTCCTGCTGCAAACTCTGCAATTACTTGCATCGCCGCTTTTGTGTGTATTTCAGCAAAACTTTAATGAGGATAAAAACATTTTTCATATCAATAATATCCTTGATAATATCCATTTGATATTTTCCATCGCTAAAATGGCGTTTGTTTATCCTCTTTTTGATACTGCAATTCCCATTTAATCACTATCATTGGTGTGTTTCAGGGCGGAGAGGTGGCTGATGTATTTATGCACTAAAAACTGGGAGAGTCGGGATGAAAAAAAAATGAAGAGCGTTGGTAAAGTCAAAATGGGACAGCTGTCAACAATTTACTATTTGTGAAAGAAGTGCTTCATACCCAATGAAAGACCAACCCTTGGGTAACTTCTCTGGGGTGCATCATTGTGAGTTTTTCCATCCAATTCCTGTCGATCCGGGCAGCTGACAGTATTCTCACATCCATAGCGAAATTGCAATGTTTGTCAGTTTAAAATGAGTTGATGGCACATTTTGAAGTGTAGTTGAACATTTTAGGGCTTGGGTGTGTTACATAGATAGTTTTGCTGTACATATGTGCCACTATTGACAGGAAATTAAAGGATATGAGGCCGGGATTATGATAGATTTTAATGAATATTCACTGAGAGGTGACGTTATAAACGTCAGGAGGATAATTCTTTTATTTTCCCTTCCGGTAATTTGATATAGGCAGTGAAACAGTGTTGAATTGCAGAGTGGGAGCAAATTTATGGGTCAAATGAGAAATTTTAATAATTCACCTCCTCAGCCTGTGAGGGAGATGCTCCAACCAGGAGAAAGATGGATGCGAATTCCTGATGAGATTCAGTGACAATAAATTGTGAATGTCGCTTTCTGAGCATCTCACACCCGGTCTTCCTCTGCTGATGATGATGATCTCTTGGTCTTGCGTGGTTGTGTATCCGCGTTGGGGACCTCCCACGGTTGCCTCGTTGAGGCGGAGTCCGGGTTCACCAATCGATACAGCCTCTTATGTACAGCGGAGTTCGCATCTGCTATATAGCGCGTGAGTCTGTATTGGGATGCTGACATAGAGCGCGCATCGCCGGAATATGACGGCAGTGTTCAGTGCTCTCTCGAGGGTGGCAAATTTCCCAATGATGATGGCAATGACGATGATGAGTTTTCATGCGAAATCAGTTGACATTTCGTTGTTATACATAACATCCTCTGAGCTCCCCATCTCTCGCTCCTCATGTGATGATAAAATATGTGAATGTGGACGAAAGTGGAGCTCTTTGCCGTGAGGAATATGAAATCGAGGGGCTGGAGCGTCAGCTCCGGAGGGTTCGGTAATAGAATTTCAGGTTGTAACAGAAGAAATGTCATTATACTCTCGACAGTAGATGTTTTATACACATAGGATTTGCTATAAAAAATGCTCTTCCTTATACATACGTGTATGTGAAAGCTCCTTAGCAATATGTTCAATGCAGAACTTATTGGCGGAAATAATTTGTCGCTCAGATGTTTCTCTATAGTTTTCTCTCAAATCTCAAATTGATAGCAACACTGCTTGATAGTTGGGGAAAAATGCACTGTGCAGCCCCTTGGGTTTGGAACGAGATAGAGAGCCGGTGGAAATATTTAATAGAGAGAAGAAGGGTATTTTCTGGAACCGGCGTACAACCCAGCTGGGCGGTGGTTTTCGCTCGGGCGTATCACAAAGTGTGGGTGACGCGCTTGATATTGCCCTCCATATTCAGTGGATGTCAGCGCTGAATGGGGAGAAGGAGCACTCACGAGAGCTTCAGAATGAATTCTCATGCAAAGTTGATGATATACACGAAAGGTTGTTTGTTGGTTGATGGTGGGTTTGTCAACGTCGCGCTGTATCTTTCGCCATGAATATTCTCTCTACATCGCCACCCCCCCGATTGCGGGGGCTTTTGTCACAGCAAAGTGCAGAGAGAGGGAGAGAGGGGGAGTGGGTATCAAAAGGGGTGGTTCGAGAGTTTGTGTGTGCGCGAAATGGATTCGCAGAGGGAACATAATGAAAGATCCTGACAATGTTGGGGATGGAGTTGAAAACAGGAGACAAATTCAATTCCATTTTATATTCTTTTTCTCATTTCATTCCATTTGTCTCTCCATACATCTTTTGTGCTCTTTTTTTCCCATGGTCCATCTTTTGCCATTGCGATTGTTGTTTTCCCTCGTCCAATGAAATTTTCCATTAGACAGTTGTATTTTTTTACGGATCTCCGCGGCGATGCAGAGTACATATTGGTTTGTGAGACAAAGGATTGCTGGCAAAGTTAGAAAATGGCTTTCTATCTCAATGCCAGTCTATTTCTGGCTTTTTCTTTTTTCCCTCAACTCCGTTGTCTATAAATATTTATGATGCAACATCTTTCCACATTGATGTAATTAAATTACTGGGAAAATGTATTATAAGTTGTCATTCCATGCTCAGTGTAGAGCAAATGTAATCTAAATGCACACACATACATGACAAAGACTGCGATATAATTGAAATTGAAAATGAATGGAACACAAAGGCAAAAAGGGATGAATTTGTATAGTATTTGAGACAAGAATTTTTGTCAGATGTCAAAATACAGACGGATTTTTTGATATGTTTTGCCTTCCCGACCATCTAAAAAAGCATCAACTGATGAATAAGTCTCAGTGGTTCCCTTTTCAATGTCCTCAAAATTGCCTCGTGTATTTGGAAAAGAGCCTTGTGGGAGTATATTAAGTATTTCTATAGATTGCATCATGAAATTTGCCATGTCATTGTCACTGTGAAGGCATTCCAATGCGAAAAGGATTCCCACCTTGTGTAAGACGTCTGCGGGTGTGAATGCGAGTCACGTTGAAATTCGATATTTTGTTCAAAATCGATTTATTGATTAGTCTCTGCAGGTTGACTGATGAGATGGAAGTTTCAGGGTGGAATGACACAATTTTCCTTGCAATGGCAAACCCTCAATTGCTCGCGTGTGGAAACAACGGAGGTTGAAGTGTTGAATTTCTTCCGGAAGTCTTATCAATGCTGCAGAGACACTAAATCGAAGACCTTCCAGTGTCTTGGTCGTCTTTCAGACAAACAGTCAACGCCACATCCCTCAAACTAATCCAATAAATAATGTTGGTTAGCACTTGGACAGTGCACAAGGTTCCGTGAGTTTTCAACTATGACTTTATGTGGTTTATGTCATCATTTCGGGATATTTCGACTTACATAAACATCCTATATCTGGAAATGTTTCTCATGAGAGACCATTGAACTCTTTTGTACTTAAGTGTTGATCCCTCACATGCACCTTCACGTTCACCTCCATTCACACTTTCGTCCACTTTTCTCGGACACACTGGGAGAATTTCTGTTATTTATGGTGTCCGGAAATTATTTGTCGTCCGTTTTTGACGGTGATCAAATGCGGGGAAGGTTGAAAGATCACCACAATTTCTTATAGAAGTCTCTTTTGCTCTGTCCTTCCTCAGGACGTCCAAGACGCTCAAGGGAGGTTTTTACGACAAAAAAAAGTTTAATTCCCACACAATCAATGGTGAAAAATTGGTGAGGAGTTGGGGAAGTGATTTCCTCCTTCACACCTTTTTCCCCCGAACTCTGATACATTCTTTCATCTACCCTCGAGTGTCAGCGAAACCAATTTTTATTTCCTGATATATTTCTCCTCTTTTTATCGACTGGCAGTGTGTCCTTTTGATTATTTTTTTCCTACCTTCTTAAGGATATTAAACGGTGTGTGTGGGGGATGAAAATTATTGATTTATGTGCCCTCCTTTTGAGCCCTTAAATATTCCCACAGAGTGTCACTGTTTCACTGAGATTTAGCCTCGAAGGGATGTCTCTTTTTCATTCGTTCTATAATGCCCTTCGTGATAAATTGCAACATATTTGTCACATTTACACAGTAGCGATAATTAATCATAAGCCAATAAAATTTGCTTCTGTTCCCAATATGATTCTTCCGTAGCATGAAAGCGGGCGGAAAAACTAAGGGGTTGATTTTATATACTCGGAAAAAGTTTAATATTAATCTTTCATTCATCCTTCGAGTACTAAAATTTAATTTTCTTGATAGGTTAACATTCTGTTCGATTCTTTGCCAACAGCCAGAAAAATTACAGTGTGTGGTGTGCAAAATAGAGGTCATGAAAGAGGATTTTTTTTATATTACAACAAGGGTGATTGATTCAGCACGCCTCCAACCAACTCCCTAATCTGTTTCTTTCCCATCCCACAGCTTCTGCGAATTGATGGGTAGATATCTAGAATTACATTTTCATTAGCGGTTACCGTTTGAAGATGCGTCTCCCTTCTCTCAGTCTGGCAGTAGGTCCTTTGGGAAATCCGCGGAGGGATTTCGTGAGTTGCCAGCAGAGATAAATACTGTTGAAGAGGAAAGTACATTTTCCACTGTTTAATAGATTTTGGCGGGGATTTCATGGATGCACACACGTTCTGGTGCGAGGAGGCAAATTTTCCGCATCTTCCTCGAGGGGTGAATATTTCCCGCGGCGGGTGAAGAGGGGGTGGTGAAAAGGAGAGCCAACAAACAAGTTGTGCTTTTAAAAGGCGTATCAGATTACACACAGGATTTGTCTGTCATCTCTTCCTTCCATTTGAGCGCAGTGAATGGAATCACGGTGGTTTTTTCCTCTGCATCTCTGTGGGTGCAATAAATTTTTATATCATTTCACCAGCTGAGGAGAGATAGTCTGGTGGACCACCAGAGGAGGGCTGTTGCCGGCTGGGAGATGATAGTAAAATTTATGATGAAGAAAAGTGTGGTGCCTTGATTGGAGAGGCAAAAGAGAGTCCATTCGGAGAATAAAGTCATCGACTCAGTCTTCCGTTCACAGCATCGACCCTCGTGTCCATTGGAAATTATCTGATTCATTGTCAAAATTAATCCTTGAACAATAAATATCGTTTGTCTTTCATTCTCATCTCTTGCCGAATCTATATTCACGCAGCTACTGCTGCTGCGGGAACTAATTCATAAATATTTCCACTAATATAGTTGTTCACAACTTTCCCAAATTAAATTCTCCGCCTTTTCAGGGTTATTCAAATAATTATCAAAATCTAAATGAGATAAATTCTAGTTTTAATCACGGTGTTAATACTTTGAATAAGCGCCAAATGCTCCCTGTTGCAAAAACCTTTTCACATTGCATTTCAATTCATATTCATAATTCCAAATTGCAATTCGCAGCCTTTGCTGTGTAGCAAACTTTATGGCTAACTCTGCTCTCTCACCAGTTTTCGTGTATAGAAAATAATGCTGTTGCGTGATGAAAAGGAGCAAGAGATAAAGGACAAAGTGGCAGGGTCTCCTAATCAACTCCTCCAAGGGTGGCACGCGCTGCAGATCTGATTTCCATTAATCGGAAATGCCACGTGTCGCCATTCTATTAGCGTAAATTTAGCATCTCTCTGGGGCCCACAATTGCCGGTTATTCGATATCTCTTCAAGTGCAATTTTCTTTCCCAATTGAAGCGTGTCTTTTCACAGGATCTGTCGCAGAATGGGAGTGATTTCCCAGAAAGGGCTTCTCGTCCATTGTTGGCACATTTGTTGCTGGTGAAGCCCATAGTGTCTTGCATTTATCTATGGCTTTCGAAGAGGTAATTTGGGGAATTAAATATTCTCAATGGAATCTTGGCCGTGGAATTCAATTTCCTCTCCAATCATCCGACGCGCACTTTTTCCCCCTCGCCGTGAATCTCGCCCTCAATTGTGAGGCCATCCGGAGAATTAGAAGAGATAGCAACTGAGTAATGAATCCTATGGGGTTGCAATTGTGGATTTGTTGCACACATGTTAAGCAAATCCATTACCGCAAGTAATCACAACACGGCGGCAATACAAGAGGCCATGAGGTCTGAATGATGATAAAGTGGCGGGAGATTTGCCTCCTCGTGTGCCTTCTCTATTATTGTTGATTATTTAACGTTATGAATTTCTATTAAATCTCACCCAGAGAGAGAGATATCGAGCAGATGTCAGAATCTCAATGAAGAATTCATTGGTAATTTCATCCTCTCGGTAAGTTGATGTGAATATAATTCAGCGAGGGTTGAAGATTCTTCTTCTGCACACTCGATAACTGGTAATCGTTATATAATGGAAACTATATTTTTGTTACCTGATAAGCAATGAATCAACTTTTCACTTCTTAAAGAATTGTCACTTTTGATACCTACCGTCTTGCTTTGCCGTCAAGCAACGATCAGGAGGAATAACCGATGAGATTTCATCTCCATGGCATAATCTCAAGACAAATATCTCGCTCACTGTCTCAATTGATATTACAAATCGAACGTGAAAGAGATTCAATATGTTAAATGATTGCGCATAAATAAGGCATGGTTTCAATGAATGAATGACAAAATTGTATGAATCTTGGTATGAATGATCTTTCGCTTTTTATTTCAACTCCTCCACTCTGTGTGGAATAATTTACAATGAGAGATCCATGAAGGTATGGTGGCGTTTTATTGTTTGAAAACAAAACTATGAAATGATGATGATGCATTGCCAGACAATGACTCGAGAGTATTCGGTATGTTGTGACAATTGGGGTAAGGTATATCAATTGTGTCCGATGGGTGCTTTTGTGAATGGAGGCTGTGCAGCTCCTGGATGGGCAGGAATGGGTAGACAGAAGGTGAGACTGTAGATTTATTCGACAGAAGCCAAAGACAGGCAGACGGAGAAAAAATTCACCGTCACGCTCTCTTCACGAATAATTTATTATGCAAAATCGATTAGAGACTTTCCACCCACGACAATTGTGCCTCAGCAAAGCGTCTCTGAAATTGAGTTATTGGGCAGAGAGTGACAATTTGACAAAAAAGACTAGAGCAAAACCTTTCATCTTTCCCACATTCTGCCTGGCTTTGTCTAATTTCTCAAAATGCGTACAGACAGCGTGGCACAAAAGAGGACATGCTGTGGAAGAATGAAGAGGAGGCACAAATTCAATTATAATTTTACAATTTGCTCCAAGACTCAGACAACTGGGATGCAGCGAAGATCAAAGTTAAAAATCAGCAAACAATATTTCATGGCTCGTTAAACACCTTCAAAGCGATGGGATCAGTGAAAAATGCAGAAAAACAGTTTACAATTTGCTATTGATTGTGATGAATAAGAGAAAAATTGTGGAATTGAGTGAGAAATTGAGCACAATGAAGTTAAATGCACTCATTTCGCCCCTCAATTGTTCCTTTCCCCGCCCAACAGTCAAAGTGAGCAATAAAAAACCGTCTTCACATTTAATTTTCTCAGAGATTTATTTGCAATTTAATTATATGTACACACTATCAGTGTTGCATTCATGTATTTTGTTTAATATCATATTTAATTACTGCAAATTAAATATTACAGAAGAATTTTCTGCGTTGTTTTCACACTTTTTTTTTCATATGTTGAGTATAATTTGCAAATTATTCTCTTTGACAGTGTCTGGAAAATTAATTAAATCATTTTATATTATGGCGCAAATATAAATTTTTTTTCATTATCAATTGTGATTAATTTTTGGGGTGGGCTTAAGAGATTCGCCCTCGCCTTTAAAAATGGATTTATTTTATTTTAATAAATTACACCCAGAGTGTAAATTCAATGTTTTGCAGAGTGAATTGCACGAAAAAAGTCTAGAAGAATGATATCTAAATACGCAATGCAATTATCTTTGCTTCTCTTCACACATATAGGGTTCTCCTTCCTCTTTAAATTATCTCCCATCGTTTTTAATTTTCTGATATGACAAATTGATATACTTGTTTTATCAGCAGTTGTTTCTCTTGTAATGTAAGACAGAAATATCCTAAATGGTTGGCTTAAGAATAGATTTTTTACACTTATATAATATTTTGTACAACTTTTAATCCTTTTTTTTTACCTTTTCTGCTTTTTCTTTAATATATATAGTTTTGCATAGTTTTTCCGTCTCTGGCATTTCTCTCACATAATTTTAATAGAAACAATATCTCTGACGAATTGCCATTATTTACTTACATATTCTAGTGGCTGTATTCCTATATTTATATCGTAAATTTAGATAGATGTCCTTTTTTGCTACTCTTCCTTTTTTTGTCAAGAATATCATCTTCGATACATTACACAATATGTTTCACTTGTCTCGATATACACTCGTCACGGAAAAAAAATCAACTAACAAGTCCTCTTCCGCTTGATTGGAAGTTGTTGGTAAACTTAATCATTGCAAAATGTGTGTGTGGAGATAATCTCATTCCTTCGTCACTTCTTCAGATATTTCATCGTCAAATACCATTGATTTGTATAGGGGCGCATCTTCACGACAATCAGCAACAATCACTGTCCCAATTGTTGATATTGCTGCCAAACACTCTACTAACTGTCATCGTACTCTTGCCCGGCGCGGGATAAGTTCAGCGATGGCCTCTTGAACAGCGACTTGTGGTGGTGAAGAGGTGGCTTGATCTTGAACAGGGACGTCGGCGATGCCGCCGACGTGAAGTCGGTTGATGTGAAATCGCACTCGGTGGCATCGTCGTCGTCTTCCTCCACCTCGTGGTTGGCCTGATCCTACACCATGTTCACGTACTTGTCCTGCGGACTCATGTAGTCCAGGCCGTTGGGTGAGAAGGTCTGCGCACCCATTGGCCCGCCCAGGCCGGAGCCCGATGACAGTCCGAAGTTGGACGCCGCATAGCCACTGTGGCCCATGTTGTAGTTGGCCTGGCTTTGGTTGTTGAAGTAGTCCATCTGCGTGTAGTAGGAGGGCGTGTTGTAGTTGTTGGGGTACTGATTGTAGTTCCAGAAGTTGTAGTCCTGGTGGGGCACGTACGACAGCGGCGGCTGATGGGCGGCAGACTGCGGGGTGATGGGCGGCGATGGGGTGGTGATGACAGACGAACTAGAGCCGTGCGGCGTGAGGTTGCCGCCAGTTTGGCCAAGGCGAGCGTTGATGTTAGCGTACGGGCTCGGATGGTGGGCCACCGACAGGCCCATCTCGCTGTCCTTCAGCACATCGTATCCCGCGGCGCCGGCCTTGAGGCTGTCTCCGCCAGCGCCCAGGGAGGCCGACGAGGAGTGGAAGGAGGGCACCTCCTTCTTGCAGATCACATTAATCGGCGGGCTGACGGAGGTGGAGGGCGTTATTGGCAAGATCGGAGACGAATTGTGGCCAGCCACGCTACCCAAACTGCCGGCATTCGTTGCGTGCTGCGCTTGGGACTGCTGTGTGTGCTTATGATTGCTAATCGATGATGTCTTAGCTGTCGATGAGGTTGTCTTGCTGCTATTCGATGTACCACTCGACGAGGTGGCCGGATTGGAGCTGTTGCTGTTGTGTCTCGTCGCATTGGACGAGTTGCTTGAACTATTTGATGATTTTGAACTATTGTTGAGGTTTGTTGTCGACTGCTGATGCTGCAACTGCTGGCGACACTTTGCCCGTCGATTTTTAAACCACACCTGCAGGCAAAGAAAGAAGAAAAGAATCGAAAATGTAGGACCTACAAAATCAGAGGAAAAAATTTGTGATCTCACACCCAAAATCACAAGAAAATTACATCAGTGTAAATCCGTAAACAAATCATTTGGACCACTAGGCAGAAAATGACGCAGGCACTCCCCCTCGAAATTCCACAAGGAATGCCATTCAGGGTTTTCCCAGGATTCCGCCCTCTGAGTTTTCATCACACCCCATATAACATTATGCGTTGAAAATTCAATTGCCGCCGATACAAGGGTAATGTTTTAGTAATGATGATATTTTTTCAAGCGTTCACTTCTGCGGCAACGCGAGCGTGATGGAAAATTTCTGATTCACTCTTTTGAAAATGAAGGGGAGTTATGTCATCAGGAACAGACTGCGGCAGAGAGAGTGCAATGCAAATGATAAAATAGAATTAACAGAGAATCTTCAGAATATTGAAATTAACTAAAAGAAGGTCATGAAATATAGAAAAGTTAAATTTATCTCTGGTCAATTAGATGAAAAGTTCAATTCAATCAAAATGGGCGGGGCATCCAGGTGGGCGGAGTTTAGTTCAGACTTGACAAATTTATTGTTAAAGATTTCTTGAACCTTTTTCAGTCTGATTGATTTTCTTGCTTAGCTATTTTATGCCACACTCTGTAAAGAACACCTCACATTTCACCCTCGCTTTTTACGATATTTCCTCTATTTTACACTTTACCAGGCAGAAGGGATGAATTGATTCTGATATAAAGCAATTTTAGCTATTAGATTTCACGACTCAGCGTGTGCCTGGCATATTAGGTTTCACTGTTTTTTTCGAGAAATTCAATTTGTGCTGCCGATTGAATGATTCTCAGTGACAAATTTGTTAACAGTTTCTCTCTCTTTTCGCTTCCCATCCGTGATTTAATGATGCAATCTTGGGAATCTCGATGTTTGTTTTTTCCCTTGTTAAACACCGTTTAACTGTCTACAAGAAAAATACATCGCTTCTCCTCGGGTTATATTTATTGTATATCGACAAATTGTACCCCCGAAAGCGCCGCAGATGATTTCGTACAAGAGATTGATGACATCTTTAGTGTCCGATATACAAATACAGCCGTGATATTTTGTTTGAAAATATTTTTACGACGTTTCGAGAGTTGTCATGGACGATTGAATGGGAGGCAGAAACATCCCTCATGGAATATAAAATGCATTGTAATGCAGCAGAAAATGTTTTTGCAATGTGACCTCTGTCGTGACACAGAAACCCCGAGTAGATACCTCAAACACAATTGTCCAATTCTTCATGAGGTGTTAAATAACCGAAAATTTTTCTGATCTCTCTGGCGATCTCTTGCCTTTCTTCGTCTTGGGGATTTTTTTTCATGCCACATTTTCAGTTGAGTGGGAATGTATGAAAAATTGGCCTTAACAAGTCTTTCTCCTCTTCAAATGAGTCGAGATTGCTTTGAAAAAAGTATCGAATTTCGAAAGTGTCGAGAAATTGATTAGATCGTGTGTCTCATTTCCCCCGGAGTTTGGAAAGACGAAGTGAGAGAAAAAAGCAAGAAAAGTGACCGTATTTCACTTTTTGGCACACAATTTGCCGGTTGTTTGTATTTCATTCCAATTGAAATGCAACATTGAGTGCGAAAGATAACAAGAGGAAGGCCCCTCGCCCGTGTTATGTGCATGGCATGGGTAAAACATCAGACTGGCGGCCCTATTTGCACAGCAAAAGAAATGATTCTGCACCCTTGTGTTATTCTGAGGGGTGAATTTGTCACATTGTTAAAGAAAATGTATTATCGCGCCCATTTATGGCTGTTTGCCGAGAGTGAATTTTACGCAAAGGCACACCAACAAGCGGAATTGAACAAATATATGAGATTCATTGGCAAACGAGAGGGACTACACTTCTGGGCTGGGAAGAGAAGAATTCCTGTCATTGGCGCGGGGGAAAATCTGTGGTGACAAATCGCAGATGTTTTTCCCAATCACTTTTCACATGGTGAGCAAAAGAGAGAAAGATGATTTTTTTCCCAAAAAAAAAACCTCATCACGCTATAAAAAGGGTCACAAATGCAACATTTTTATAGAAGAGTAGCAAAAAAAAAATTCACAGTGTGAATAATTTCTTTTTAATGTTTTTACAGGGACATCTATCATAGTTCAGTAATCTCCAAACATCACCTATATTTTAGCAAATCAAATAACCTTTCCCCAAGTCAGCAGCTAAATCAGATATTCGTGATGGATGCGAGAAATCAGAGAATATGAAATTGATGAATTATCTTGCAAAATGCTGTCTTACCTGAACTCTCGATTCTGGTAAATTAATCTTAAGCGCCACTTCTTCCCGCATGAAAATATCCGGATAGCGGGTCTTCCCGAACAAAGTCTCCAGGACATCGAGCTGCGTTCTCGTGAAGGTGGTTCTCTCCCTTCGCTGCTTTCGCGGATTCACGCCTGAATTGAGAAATAAGACGATAAATGTGAATTGTGGGTTCCATTTCCACTGGTGAAAAATTTTCTTATAATGCTCATTCAACTGACAATGCTAAGATATTTCAAGTGACAATGATTCTACGGAGACACAGAAAACATAGAGTATTAAAATTTACATGTTACCACTTGTGAAATATTTCGAATAGGGTGTGGGGGTTGAAAGTGGAAAAGGGGGATGGAATTTTTGTGTCATCTGCAGCAGATCACACGATAGGATTTATTTCGCACAGTATCAAATTGACGCGACGCATTTGGAAAAGTTTAAATTAACTCAGTGTTTTGCCACTCAATTTTTAAATATCGGCTGGGAGTTTCATTAAAAGTGTCGAGAGAAATTACTTTTTTTCTGCTTGTGCGCAATATAATGTCTCTCTGATTAATATGGAAGATCATAAATCTGAATTAAGAGAGAAGAATGTGAAAAATGACGTCGCCGCTAAAAAGGGGGATGTTTTTTTTCATACCCCATCAATTCATGTATGATATTTTCCATCCTTGTTCCTCTCGTTCTGCCATTGTGGTGGTTATATAGAAAATTCATGGGTGTGTACATAGTGGTGTGACAAAGGCAATTTCAGCTGCACTTTTGAATGAAATATGGTGTTGAGACTGCCACAGCTCCCTCCCAATTCACACCGGGAGCAGAAAGATATCCTCCGTCCAATCAATAATCACACAATTCACACCTTTCATTGCGCCCTTAGGTTCAGTAATTGGCTTCCCATCTCCCACACACCTATATATCGTCTAAGCACTTGGAGTTATGTTAAGTTGAACAATAAATATCAATTTATTTTTGAATTAGCTTCACCGCCTTCAAACCTCCCCCAAATCGCAAGGTCAGAGAATCAATTGATTTGTGACATGTGAGAAGAGCAAATTGGCCTAATTTTCTTCCTGCGCAGAGTTGTATCAATTTCAGCCAAGTTATTTGGACAAGTGGCGTGTGGGTAGGAAATGTATTTAGCAATCACATCCCCCGCAAGTTGTTTCACTGTGAAAAACATCACCCCATTTGTTTACTCAAACACTTTGGCAAAACACCCACCATTATCACGGGTGATGGTGTGGAAAATCTCAATAGGAATATTTGGGTGAATTTATGTGGCTCTCTTCGAGTAGTTTGTCGCCGGCAGGAAGACATAAATTCACACTTAGCGCGTATCGCAAGTGACGAGGAGGATCTGTATCTAAATATTGTGTGAAATTTCATATTGATTCACGCCACCAGGCATAAACACACCCTCAACTCCGGGAGGGTTTTATTCACTTGATTTCACTACTGCAAACATCACTCACGTGCGTGTGACTTTGCCACGGAATAATCACATTAAGTTTTCAGTTGAGAAAATACAGAACACGCGGGCTTTGGAAAAGTAAATTTCACCGACAATTAAAATATCTGCGGAGGCGCGAAGAGACAGTGGATGTGGTAAATTCTTGGGTAAATATTGTGGTATGTGGAGTTGCATTTACGACTGTGAATTGTGTGTACTCATAAAATTAGATAATACCCAATTGGTGGCACGTGTCAGTGGAAATTGATATTTTATGTTGACGTGAATGAGTATGTTTTAATTTAATTTTTTCCCCTGATAAAACGATCAGTTGGTGGGAAAAAAAGGAACGCCCAGGTTTGCATGAACGCCAGCAATTCAGCGTCACAAAACGTACTTTATTTATTTGTCACAAAGAATTGCATAATTCGCTTAAAGAATTTATCGATTTAGCCGGTTGGCAATCTCACGGATGAATATGCAATTACGTTAAATTCATGCCACTTGTTTGCTTTGCATGAACACACGCGCCTTTCAATATTTTTGAAATGAATGTGCCAAAAATAGAAAGGGGAGCGTGGGGCGTTTTCGGACAATGTTCGCGGCACATTCTCTGTAGAATCTTTATGTCTACAAGCAGTACAAATGTTTCTCGCCGAAAGAGTCTCATCGATATAGAAAGAAATGTCTATAATTTGCCTTTGTTCATTAAGCTGAACTATTCCTGGTGTTTCTTTGCATTTCCACCGGAGAATTCTACCCCAAGAGAGACGCTTAAGCACTCATTGCTATTCTCAACCCGAAATACTCCATGAGAGCTCCTCAATGTAAGTGTGTTTTACTAGCATCCATCGAATAGAGGAGGAAACGATGCCACTCTGCATTTGGAGGACCTTCCATTTTCATCATTCACTCTCCCCTGAATTTTCCGCAATCCCCCCCGAATGTACGATCTTCCAACAGAGTGTGTCTCCCTTCAGCCATTATATTCATTCTCATGTTGGGGTTGGTGTACACACAGCCCCGGAGAATATGGTTTGGGAAGGCAAAATGTAGTATAAGGTAAAAGTTGCCACCCCGTTAAGCGGTTTATCTTCCCGTTTCAGGCTACCAACATTTTCTGTTTTCCACTTCTGCCTACATTTCACGGAACCCCTCGTCACATGAAATTTCACCCTCGACGACGAACAACCAACCCAAGCAAACTTCATACCCTATATATTTTCCATTCACTCTCCCTTTTCCGCCACCCTCTTGTATATACCAACTACTCAAAGTCGACAATGTGAAAATTCATCCCCTGTTGTATCTTTTTCGCCCATTTTTCCCGAGGTTGTGACATCCTCGCTACTCATACATTCATGATGCCACGCATAAATAATCATAATATGGGGTATGCGAGGTAGAGAGATCGTATACATAATAATGGGCATCATCATGCTAAACAGGAGGGCGTCCGGGAGAAAATGCCGAAAACCCAAAAAAAGACACCATCAACTTCCTGTCAGGAAGCTTCACTGAATTATTAAAATATCTCCGACAAAATTTCCACCCTAAAACCATCCTAATTATCAAGACGGAAAAGGACACCGACTTAATTGACTCCTGCAGAATCGATTAGTCTGGCACGGTCTTCTAAGCTCTCAGCTGATTGCAAACACCAAATGACTCTCAGGACATCGATATAGAAGATCATCACACACTGATTTCTCAATTCGCCCAAGAGGATTAATCTCTAAATTCTCTGTTACTGGAGTGTGCAGAAAAAATAAGGGGATTACAGCGAAAAAGCGCTAAGGGTTAAACAACCATAATAGGGCTTATACTTTCTAGAAAACTCAATAATCAATGTGATAAGCAGAGGAGCATATTTTAGAGAAGTTTCTTCGCACTGTTTTATTGTAGTTCAATTGTCAATTCAGGTGAAACTAATGGTTTTACTTAAAGAAACTTGTAGCGAGTTAAAAGTAAGTACTTTGTATAAATTACATCAGAATATATTTAAATGCGGGAAAATCTCTGAATGATGGAAAACTATGTGGTTTCTTATTTATATCCGCCCCACGAAGTTGAGTGAAAAGAAATGAAGATCCTTTGCAATTGGAAAGATGAAAAGTATGAAATTGACTACATTTCATGCAATCATCCCCACATAGAAAAGCCACCGCCTTTGTCCTCCATTTCTGCACTGAAAATATACGCAATAACTCAGCCAGTCTGTGCTCTGAGGTCTCCTCAGTCTCTCCACCTTGACTATGCTTTGGGGAGAAAATTTAATGTTGGAGAGGGAAAAGGATTTTCGTTGCATGAGAGAGAAAAAGAAATTGCTAAGAAGCAAACTTTGTCTGCCAGCATTGTTGTTCAATGTAATATTTTTCTACCATTTGACATCATTATAAATGAGCTGGAAAAGAGATTATCGGTTTTATTTGGTTCGTTTATTAAAAATTAAACGACGCGGCTTACATATTACGATTGACTTCTCTTTCTTCTCCATGTGACATGGCGTAGAAGAGAAAAATTGGGGTAATACTCAAAGACAAATGAAGCGTTTTTGCCTCATGCCGAGAGAGCTTTTTTCCGCGAAATTAGAGAAAATCAATTCTCTTTTCTTGCCCACCTCCTTTTTCCCATCGACCGCCGAAAAAAAAGTCTTTAATATACGTTATGCGCAATGAAATGAAAAATAATGAATCCGTGATTGATGAAAAAAATCATTGAGAATGAAATTGTGACAGAGTGCGCGGTATGGTGAAAAAGGAATGACAATATGGACATAATTTCGAATATTCAAATTTCCAATTGGTTGACAGAAGTGGCCGTGAGATCCGCGTGGAAAAAAAGAGTTGGAAGACTTGGCGTGAAGATCAAAGAGTTTCTCTTCTAGCTGTTGGCCTTTTACAGAAGCGCGTCCAGCAGCCCAAAAATGGGTTCCTCGAGTTGGTGTCAAATGGCCAAAAGGGAGACAGACGTGAAAATGATGACCAACAAGCATAATACATTTAATATAGAATGAAATTCATATGCCATTGCAATGGTGAGGTGGTAAGAATTCTTTCATGGTGTCTCACAATCACGAAATTACTCTTCTCACCATCTCATTCCGAATTTGATTCACCTGGGAACGGACACCCTCTTGCTTCTTATTCTTCTTCACGCTCGTTGGCCATTGCGGATGGTTGTAGCAGCAAGTGTCGTAGCATTTGAGCTCAGAAATGCTACCAAATATTGTATGATTAGAACGTTATTCTAGATAAGGAAATAATTTGGTGGCAAAACTTATCAAATTGGAATCAATATCCAATAAAGTGACACTTAGACACTGCAGAAAATACGGTCTTCTCAAGAAACATCGAAATTATAGTGTCTCAAAGTGTTTAGGTAGAAATCCCACGATATGTTATTCTTCCAGCGACACTATGATAAGCTCACCCTAATGCTTTCTGTACACACTGAGAGAAATTCCAGCGTGTATGAGCTTTGACTTCTGTTTCTGGCCACGAAGAAGACATTCAAATGTTGAGCATTCCCGGAGACAATGTCCCAAAAATAGCCGGAGAAGCCCCACGAAGACAAAAAAGGTCCCGCAATATGGGGAGAAGAGAAAAAGAGATGTTTTGGAGTCTGACGAGTGAATGATATGGAGGTATGTATAAAATAAGTTTCGTGTTCGCGTTTTTGTATCGGGGAAAAAGAATGGGTATATGAAATGCTTATAGGAGAGCACTTGGGCGGGTGAGAGTGGTGGTTGTGGTGTCTTTTTGTGATGTGGATGAGGAATGCTTTTAAAATGACACACGGACTTTGTGTCACGAAACCCATTCAGCCGTTATATGATACCAAATCTGAGAGGCATTGACGTATCAATCACTCAAGTGTAATTGAAAAATTACACACGGAGGCGCACAAAGTGGAGCTGCGAGTCTCCCATACGGCGAGATGGAAAGGGTATAAAAGGTCCAGCATGCGAGAAGTGTGAGTGAGATACCTTTTTGGAGCATTTGTGTGTCTCGGGCACCTCCTGAGGCCCCCCGTGGCAGAGCGGGAATTAACTAGAGATCAGAGGAATTCTCTCTCGAAGGCGTTAGGGCTACTGGTTTTCGTTGGACAAGTCATCTTGCGATTTCCTTCTCTCTGTCGCACTCTTGCTGTATTAATGCGATAACGCTAAACCGAAAGACGCAAAAGAGACAAAGAAATCTCCCAAGAGTGTCGCGAAGTCGCACATTTTTACTCTAATTTCAATAGCTGTGACTCAGAGGACTTGATTTCCATCTGATATAGTCGTGAATTTCCGATTTAGTCTCATCCAAAGTTTCGTGAGAAATTCACGTTAGTCGTCAGAATAAATCAATTATGTGACAAACGCCTTATCTGGATGATGTCTTTCCACCATTCAAATATCCCTCTCCTTACCGCTGATGTTTATACCATGTTGGCTTTCCATAAAACATAAATTCACACTAAATGTCTCATGTGGATCAAAATTTGTCAGCTTGTTTTTATCCTCCTGCAGCTCCCGAGCGCCTCAATCAATCTCCATTGCCTTATGCATATGAGATGGCAAAATACGCCACGCGGCGTATATGACAAAATGAAAGTGAAGTGCATGCGTGTGATTGGATTCATTATGTAAAAAAGTTGATCATTTAAAAAGAAATCAGCATCTGGAGCTGTCATAAATCAATTAGGAGCAAATCGTGAAGTGCATATTAAAATTGACGAGACCACAAGTATTTTATACCCTTCCTCTAAATGTCAACAAGAGAGTGTAGAAATATGTATCGCGGGTGATAATGTGCAGTGGATGAAAAGCATTTCGGACGTGGCTAGATAGCAGCCCCACTTTCACCCACGCTGAATTATTGCATAAAAGTTGTCTAAAAGCATTTAGTGGTCACATAAATCAATTTAATTGATAGAACTCGCTATCACTTCTCGGGTCATTCTTATGAATAAATTCTTCTATCAAAAATTCAAGAAACTCGTCTGGCTCGCTTCGAAACAGTTGCGTCCCTGAAAAGCAGCTGCACCACTCTAGATTCACCATTTGTCTATCGAGTAAAACTGGTAGTTTGTGAACTATGAGTAAAGTATAATATTTTTATTGCGCAATAAATTACTTTTAATTTGAATTAGACGCTGTGTATCTTATAAAACTAATGCTTTACTCAATGGATTTGCTTTATAGGGTCGTAAAATTTTGTAGAAATCTTGTTAACAAGGATTTGTTGGTATGTAACAACTTTCTATAGAGTAAATCGTAATTGAATCTTAGTTGTTACCCAATGAACCTTCCTATCATGATGGACGCCAAAACGAGAGAAAAGAAATTTCACTCCTATGAATGCTCCTATGTTTAAGACACTGAACTGTATTTTCAAATTTCCAATAGCATGTCAAACAGTGAGATACCGTATTGTGATAGAGCGTCAATTCCTCGGGGAAAATCATTTTCACTCGAAATTGTAATTATCTCTGCATAAATGACTACTTAATTAGGTTAATTGGAAGGAAAACCAGACATAACTAAGAGACTTTGTTACTTGCGAAGCTTTTAAATCAACAATATTTCATGAGGCACAGGGATAAATTAGTGAATTAGTCTGGGTATGATTCTATTTCAACTAATGTTAGTCATACATCATGCAACGTGAGATAAGAGGTGAACCGTGAGTGGTAACATCAAAGGTAAATCATTGCGAGTGATTGATGGTTCTTGTACTTCCTTGCGAGATCATCATGTGAGCTTCTGGTTTTTACCATCAATTCAAGATATATTGTACGCATACTCACAACTCTCAGAGGGCAGTACAAATAAGGCTAAATTGAAATGTTGCGACAAACAAATAATCGAGGTCCTAAAATCTACTCTAGGGAAAATGAAGAAAAGCACACTTATTGTAAAGGTATAAGTAGAAAAAGTGAATATTTACCCCACATACCTTGGGGGAAGCCGACCTCCAGTCCATGTGGTATTCCGAACGGTGCCAGGCTCGCCATGGGCATTCCCGGTGGCAGAGCTCCATGGGGATGGCCGTGGTGCGCATGAGGGGCGCCGTAGCTGTGTGGATGCGGCCCCAAGTCGCTCGACTTGAGAAAGCCCGCCATCAGGGCCTCTGTTGAATGGAGCGCCACGGTAAAGTTGTTCCTAACCGCCGCTGCAAGACAGAGACCATATTTGCATTCATTCGACTCATTTTCGGGTGCTCATCAATATATATACATCTTTTTGGCTGTTGTGAACGATCAGCCATTCCAGTGACATTCAGAAAATGGGTATTTTCTTCCTGAATTTCCGCACCATGTGGCGTGAAACATGTCTAGGACAAAAGTACAGGATTACAATGATACCCTGACTTGCTTTTGTCACTCTCTCTCTCTCTCTTGCCTCTATTGCGTGTCTCTTGCATATTTAGTGTGTTTTTGTCCCAACCTATCATAGACCTCACTCTCTATACACTCACATTAAATGGCATCGGATCCATTTAATTCGGAACTATTTGTTTTGCTCACGTTTCACGACACATTTTGGCCTCATAGATTGAATCTTTTCCTGCATTCTTTCTCTACCACTCTGAACTTTGCAGTGTCTGCCCGTTTTTTGCTGGAGAGTTTCTTCATTCCAGAGGTGAAGATAAAATTTCGCATTGGCCGATTTTTGGTCTCGTGGGCAATTATGAAAATGATAATCGATAAATTTATGAAATTTGGGAGAAGCCTCTTAATCGATTCTCAATCAAATAATTTGTGCTGTTTTATTAGATAAAATCCGTTTCGTGAATATGCATGATTTTTTCTCACACTTCAAGGCGCATACTTTTGTCGTCTTTTTGCCGTCGCGCGCAATTCACAAAAGTGTGTAAATCATAAGATGTGGAGAGAGAGAAACAGTCTCAGAGAGATCAAAATCAACCTGTCGAACTGAAACACTTTTTGTCGATGATGGTGTCTCTTTTAAAGGAGATTGGAGAGACGCGCACATGTTGGATATGATGTAGTACAATTATAATAACAATTCAAGATTCGAGTCCACTCAGTTTGATGTATCTTCCATTCATGTCGGCGTGGATATTTGCCCAAAGATGAAACGGAAGGAGGCGAATTCAGATCTTGGAGACTCATGGGTGGTCCCAAAGGGGAATTTCTCATCGAATCAACCATCTTCGAGATGTATCAGAATGATAATTAGTCAAATGCTTCACACGGCAGCGCAAGATGTACTACAACACGGTATATTCTATTAGATCTTGTTCAAAATGTTACCAACAAATTAATCAGAAGACTGAGATTGAAGAAATGCGTCATGCATTGGGAGTTTCATTATTTGAAAAATGACCGCACGCTAGATTAATATCACTTCTTTGGTCACAAAAAGGCTTCTGGTTTTTCACGTGGTGACAAATTTTTATTCCAAAATGCCCGCTTTTTGCTCACACTTCAGCCTCAAAAGACTCCTCTCTCTCTATCTATTGATTTTGCCGGTACCTTTTAGGTGGGATTAGCAAATTGATTGGTTACCGAGAAAATTCCAGTTCAGAAATCATTTTATGCGCAAACCAAGAGAGTCCCGAAAGGAGAGTTTTTGCAGATGAAAAAGGGCGACAGGGTAGAAGAGGGAGCTAGACTTGCCGAAAAACTGCCTCGTTTCATGTCCGGGATTATGGCGAAACTTTTTTTTTGCACCTCCCATTCCTCGGACAATCCTAGTGTGACTGTATGAAACTTGTCTTTAAAATCCCACCACTGTTTCTGCTACCACGGGATAATCTCTTTCGAGTGAATATCATCCTCCCTCGATGGGGTACAGAGAGTCTGTTCACTCTGTTGTATTTTTGTAGGTCGCAAACAAATTGCAAAATTTTCGTGGAATTCTTTGCGGTACTGGACATGAGCTGATGGCAAAAAATCAAAGCAGAAAAGTGTTTGTCAAAGAGACAGTTAAATATCTTCTCTCGTTTTTCGAACATGATATTTCTGATCACTTCCCCCCCCCCGCTTCTTTGATATTCTCACCCGTTGATTTATTGCACCTTTTTCCCAGTGCTTTGCCAATCTCATGACACAATTCGTGATTTTTCTGTCGCCTATCTCTGTAACACTCTGTGTTCAGTTTCTTTTCTCCGTGAACCCCATCCGCATCGTCCTATGCTGAGAGAACGATCATTCCTCTTATCTAAATGAATGAAAGTTTTACACACATTAATCGAATTCTGGAGGTTTTCACCTCTCTTTCGTGCCTCCTTGTGTCCACTTGAATTTTTCCTCCTAAATGGATCATTAAAGTGGCCGGTTGATGGTGAGTTTTGTGTGATTTTTGGGTGAGTGGATACGAGGATCGATTACATTGGGTTTTACTATAGACCTCATGTCGTCACCTTCGCCACCTCTAAAGTGGTTTCAAATTCATCGGAATGAGGATCAATCTCAAGGGCTTTCACAAGTGGCTGTGCGCCACTCGTGATTCCTCAATCACGCCTTTGGTTTATTGCAAAAAAGAACTGCAAAGCGGAAGTAATTTATCGTTTTTTGAGGGTGAATGTGGGCTACCGTGCAACAGTGGAAGGTCGATTATTGTTAGGCTGTACAAGAACAGCGTCTGCTCAATGTTTCGGTGGTTCCATCCAAAAATCCATCCACTGAGTGTCTGAAGAATGCATGAAAGTGTTGTTTTCGGCGGAGATATTCCGCAAGATTGTGTCCACGCTTCATTTATCCGTGAGGTCTTCGCAAATGATCGCCCGCGAGAGTGAAGAATTTTGCGCTTGCGGAATGAGAAATTTGCCGAGTGTCACAGAAGGACGCGCGGCGTGGAGAGAAGGCAGCGATGATAAAAGGCCAGAAGCAAAAAGAAGTCAATTGTGGAGGGTGTTAGATCACCGGCGATGGACTTGCCGGGGAATATTAATAGAGGTTGGAAGAGGAAAAATTTATTGGGATTCCCTGCTGTTCGCCAGTTCGTTCTTCTGTCCCGGCGCAGCTACTCTTGCCGCTGCGACTCTCCTTTTCTTTCCCAATACTCCCATCTCCCAAAGAGATGCCCGTCGGACGCGAAGAGATGTGAATACAGTAGCGTGCGGTCATATTTTCAAAATTTATAACTCCCCCCGACTCGATGGGGCGCGCTGGGAGGTGGGGGCTCCCGATGGGAAACCAGTTTCGAATATTTTGAGTGAGAGAAGATGAAAGAAGAAAAGACGGTGGAATTCTCTTCTTTCATTTTTAACCCGAACCATCATCATCGCCCCTGCCCATGACACCCAAAGGCAGGGGCCCGGCGAAAAAAGGCAGCCACGGGAGCGGGTGTAAAAGACACCACAGAGGCGCGAAGGGGGGCCCCGCGAACTGACGACGACACTCAGAGGAGCCGCGCGCAACTTTTTTCCGAATATTCTTAACAGAGATATGGGACTTTTGATATTCAAAAATTAGTGTAGAATGCTGAAAATATATACGTTTTTAATATTAATGGTGAGTGTGGAGTTGTATTGAGCGTGGAGAGAAGAGGAAAATGAATGGTGTGTGCATTTCGGTTGACGCAGCGACGGTGGTCGAGATGAATAAAATTAAATTGTCGTCTTGTTACGGCCAATATTAAATCGCGTTTTATCGCTTTCAAGAGATGAAATCAATTGGATTGAGAGGCAGATGGAATTAATGGAAATTCTGCAATGCCGTAACGATTCTTACACGTGAGCTTTCACGAGGATTGCACTAAAAGGAGCCTCTAGAACTTGACTACTGATCAACACGCTACAAAGACGAAACCGCAGTCTTCGCGATAGGGCTTTGACTTGTCGCAAATATTTGCTTTGATATACACTTGCATCTTAACTCAATCGCAATGAAAATGGACAATTTTTCATATTGTATATCTCTCCATTTCCCTTTATCTTCTCCACGCATGTTACAAACGCTTGCAAATTGTTCAGGGTTCGAAGTGTAGTGAAAATTTCATGAAAAGTATATTCAATTCTTGGCTTTCTACGAAATAAAGACCTTCTGAAACTGTCTACAACTGGGAAAATACCCTTGGCTGGAACATTTCTGAAATATTTCGAATGCCAAACTCATCTTCTACACACACTCTTCGCGATCATCGGGACTTATTGGACATCCGTGAGGCTAGTTAATGCACACGAGGTGGAAAAAATGTTAATTTCAATTTGATATCTCACACGAAGGTGAATAGAGAAGTCAGAAAAGAGATAACCCAGCGTCTTGCGATAAAACATCCAGTCATAAATATTCGTTTACCGAACAATTGTTCCAAAACGGCGGTAAATTCGCAGAATCTCGGAGCGACCGCGGGTGTGAGGGGTGAAATTTCACGGTTTTATTTATAGAATATCAGCCGTGAGTGTGTTGTGTAATTATGAATTGTGATATAATTGAATAGAACTGTGCGCTTGGGCGGGACGGACGAAGGTAGGATACACGGCGAAAGAGAAAAATGATCCATGACAGGAAAAGAAGTCGGCAAAAAAGCGCGACAATCGCTACTGCCTGCGCTCTATTGCTAATCAATGTTCAATGCATTGGTCAATGCGAAGTGGAACTCTGCTCACAGAGACAGAAGGAAAAAAAAGATCTGTTTGGCTACCGGCTAATTGTGACTGTGTGGAGGATTAGAAGTATATGAATATACTATATATAAATATTTGATAGTAGAAAAAAATGCCACACTAAAGAGTGACATTCCAAATCCCCCACTGGCAGACACACTCCACATATTATATCCATTTGAGTATGTACATTAAGCGTGAACATTACTTTTAACATCGCATTTATCAAATAATTATTTATGCAAATGGATTTTGAATATTTTAGAGATATTACACGGCATTTTAACGCTTCTGGAATATGGTGATGTTGACAAAAGGCACTCTCATCTTGTTCTCCTGCCTCGCGAAACTGCAAAAACGTCAGCTCGCCAGAACTTTTGACTTGAGTTTCGACAAAAATACACCCATGGTCTTGTGCACTCTCTCGCCGTGGGTCAATTAATGTTGGAAAGAGAGATTTATGCTAAACGAATCTTTTCTCACCGCATTCGACATGTCTTTTTTGTTCGACACTCGCGACTCATCAATAGAATTCCCCTCAAAATTGATACAAGATGTTTTTTGCACGTGTTCGCATGTGATTTTTCTCAATATTCAAATTACACACTCTGACGGTGTCCCTTTTTCGGGGAAGAATATGGCAGCTTTTTGTCTATGCGCGGAAAAAACGACACCATTGAGAAATCATCTGGAGATTATTCACAATCAATCGAAACACGTAAAACGGTTTCGTTTTGAGTTATGATAATGATTTTCACTCATCAATGGATTTCTCGCAAGAGATGAGGAAATGAGACAAGAGAGTGAAAGATTTTTGGTGATATTGTGAGAATTGTGTTGGACAGAAGCTGGAAAAAAGGTTCATTCTGGGATATTCTGGGATTGTGTGGAAATTTCACTGATAGATTTTTTGGAAATTTCATTAAGCGACGCCAACAGGTATGTTTATTAATTTGCATAAAACCAAAAATACTTTGTCTCCATAATCACCAAGTAAAGTCATTCGTAAAATGATCAGAGTAAAAACGACATATTGATTTCAAAAATTGATTCCATTAATGGAACCTGAGCAGAATCTTTTCCCCTTTTTCAGTATCTCACGACGCTTCATTAGGTGTCTTATGAAATGCGTTTAGCCTGAATTGGAAGCAGAATTTCTAGCCTAAGAGAGAGAGAAAGAATGTCCCAAATTGATTGGAAAGACACCCCATCAACAAGTGTATTTTAATCTAGTTAATCTGGAATTGTGCATGAAAGGCTTCATCTTGCATTTGTGTATTGCCGGATATTTTTGTGTGTCTAACAAAGAAGAGATAAATTACTTCTGATTAGTAATAATCAGTCACAAAATGATTCCAAATGTGCCTCGATCACCAGCTAACGGAAATACTGTACAAAACGTTTGATCAGACAAAGGTATGTCAACCTTTTGATAGTGGTTATAGGTTTCCAAACACTATATTTATTTCGGGAAAGCGGATGAAGTTTATTGATTCTTTTTTTTTTAATAAAAATCAACAGTCAAATCGCAGTCATGCCTTCTTGAGGTGATGCCAATTTAGTTCTACGATTTCTACAGTAGAAAAAATATCAAATCTCCACGTTAGCCGTCGCTTTAGTTGTAACTCTTTTTTTGGTGGGTGTCGCAGGCCGAAAAATGTCTTCAATCGTGTCCATACAACGTGAACATCACTAAACAAGCATTTTGGCAGAGCGAGAGAAGCACAACACATCAACCAAATTGATATCGGTTCGCATAATAATACCATTAAAATGCATATACAAGAGACCGATAGATAAGCAAATTGGAAAATCATACTGAACGTATAATACTGGAATAGTATCACCGAAGTGTTTTGGAGGTTTTGGCCATTCTTAAAACTTCTCACTCTGGCCGTGCGTTTCATTCTCCAAACGGCGGACTAATGGGATTTTCGCGCACGTCAAGGCGCGGAAACTTGAATTAAGAGGAGTTTTGTGTGGAGGAAATTTTTCGCCTTCATTAACAAAGCAAGAGAGGCAAAATTCTCAATGAACAAGTTGACTAATTTCCCTAACTGTGCACTCCACATCAATTACCTTTCTCGCGCACTCCGCCTCAATATATTTGAACCATTAGTACAGTGTGTGGAACTGGGAGACTTCACATGGCGATAAAATATTGGAGAGGAAAAGTTGTGGTTGTAAAATAGTTCTCGTGTCTCATGGAGGAATTTTAATCGAATATTTCACACCCCATTTCTTTCTTGTGGAGCCGAGAGAGAAAAAAAAGACATGCGCCCATGTGGAAGAAGAGACTCAAATGACTGATTTCCAGCCATTCTCTCTCTCTCCACTATGCGGTCTTACCCGTTCATGCCCAAAAATATGACTATGGGTGTTATTCATGTTCTCAATTTTTTCGCGATGAAAAATATTCAATTATTTATGCATAAATCCATTTGACGCATACAGTACACATTATTAAAAATTACGATACACCCAACAAATTACTGTCGGGAAAAAATGAAGGTGTAATTAATCTCCTGCGAGAGAGTATATCATACATAAGAAATGCGACGGCACATCGAAAAGTCTTTCCCCTGAAAAAGCCCGGGATTCCACACTCTACTCTTTCCCGGGTTCTTTTTTTTCACTCAAAGGCGCTCACATTCGACAAAAAAGACTACAAATTTGTATAAAGTCTTGGGATGGAGATTCAGAGGGAGAGTGTGGATGAAAAACAATAAAACCCATCTAATTAATTTGTCGAATTTGTAATGGACTATTTAGTTTACGTTATTAATTGCTTTAATTAATTATACTGTCAGAATAGAGGCGTCTGATTGTAAGAAATTGTAAGATACACTCTTTTTGCCCCAATATTTTATTATAGTTTCAGAATTAAAAGATACACTTTTAACCACCAATCGCTCTTCAGGATGAGAAATTGGGATGAGATTTTTTTGCCGTGCAGCATCATTTCTCACTTATTAGTCCTGAAATGATGCCCCTTAAGTGTGCGGCACTGAGTCATCGGGATGTTTATTTAACAGTGTATAGAAGAAATATTTTCGAATCCTTTTTACGCTTGTTTTCAAATTAATTTCCACAACTGTACGTCTCGGACTTCATTCTCTTGCATACCAGGAATTCCTCATCTTGCATGATGGCTGTTTTTCTCCAATACCTGTCTCAAAAGTGCATATTCTCACATTGTTTACCCATCATTCACACAATATTTCTATGCGTTAATTCAGGAAAAATACCCAGAACTCCACCACAATGGCCAATTTTGACTCTTTGCCACCTGAAGTGTGTCTCCTTGCCAATGATTGTCATTGGGCACAAGGAAGGTGCTGTATCAATCACTGCTAAGTGAAAAACTCAGGAGATAATGGAAGTTGCTGTATGTTTTTGTTGGCCCCTTCGCTAAATGCGAATTGCTAATGTACAAGAAAATGTATTTATCATGCCTTTGCATTCACCTTTTGCTCCTAAACACGACTAATTTGTCATTTAGAATGTTTCTCGTTTTTTTTCGCTCGCTGAATAAGAACAACCACTGAGACAACACGACACTTCATGGTCCCAATATTTTGATATGAACGCGAGAGAGGCCATGGCAGAAAAAAAGCGGCATTTATTCCATCAACACTCGAGAGAGCTTTCAATTCCTTATCTAAACTCACAAATACACAACTGCCCGCGGAGAGACGTTTAGTGGGTTTTTGGCGAGGAAATAAGACAAAGACAAATTAATTTATATTGAAAATCAGTCGATAGTGAAATTGTGTCTCTGCCTGACAAACAACTTGCACTATTACAACATGTTTGTTGGAGAAAAAAGGAAACTTTTCAGAGAGTGCCGAAAAAAGTGAATCGAACTCTCGGCGTCGGGGCAAAATTGTATGGACACTGGTGTTTTTAAAAGTTTATAAAATTAATTAACTGTCACGATTTTTACAGTTAGATAAGCAAATTGAATTTAATGTTGAAAATTTGTGCGCCGACTATTCGAAGCTACACCGCAAACAAGTTGCGATCAATAGATTTGATTTAAGTGAGAGAGACAGAAAAGGCCCACAATGGAGTTTTGATATGCATAGGCAGAAAAAAGTTGATCTCACGTCGATTTCATTACAATTTTTGCTCACCTTCTGCAATCGCGAGTCAATATGACATTTTTTCCACCATCTGCTTCGGTGACATTTTGCATTTTGAAATATCACATCATATATATTTTTTAATAATTTGTCCACGACACACGAGCAAATTTTCTGCGTGGCCCCAGATTTTAATTGCACGAATTAATTTCCAAAAGAGTAAAACCCACCGCGAGCGAGGAACTTTCTCTAATCTAGAAAATGCCATCACTCAGCTGATGCTCTGTGACAAAAATCTACACTCAGCATGAATAATAATATGACACATGTCACGTTGTCCAGTGACATTCAACGTTGAGAGAGACACAAGACGCCGTTTTTTACCTCATCACACTCTCCGTCCCATTCCACATTTCCATTTAATTAATTTGTCACAAATGCGTTGGGAAAATGCTCAGGATGAGCTGTCCGGTAGCGGAAAATGGCAAAGAACGCGCGCATGAGAAGATCTAATGGGCAATTTACCAGGCTCAATAATTAAAACTGTAATTATTACGAATGGCGAGAGAGACCGAAGTCTTGTCATCAGATGTGTTTGAGAAAACTATCGCTCACTAAATGGCCGATTAATCACAATCAGCAACTAAGGAATATTAGTGTCACTAATAAGTTTTTTTTTCGTTCAAATCGTGTGAGAAATATTGAATTTAAATATGAATATCCAATTAATTTGGGAACTTCTTTCTCTCTCTCTCTTAGGCTAGAAATTCTGCTTCCAATTCAGGCTAAACGCATTTCATAAGACACCTAATGAAGCGTCGTGAGATACTGAAAAAAGGGAAGAGATTCTGCTCAGGTTCTATTAATGGAATCAATTTTTGAAATCAATATGTCGTTTTTACTCTGATCATTTTACGAATGACTTTACTTGGTGATTATGGAGACAAAGTATTTTTGGCTTTATGCAAATTAATAAACATACCTGTCGGCGTCGCTTAATGAAATTTCCAAAAAATCTATCAGTGAACTTTCCACACGATCCCAGAATATCCCAGAATGAACCTTTTTTCCAGCTTCTGTCCAGCACAAATCTCACAATATCACCAAAATCTTTCACTCGGCACAAACTTTAGTGGAAACCCGAAACTCTCCTGCAGTAAATTATCCTTGAAACTCACTTTTTGAAAGTCCTTTTGGCTGCTGGCTGTGATCAATCTTTGCCCAGTGAATTTTCTTAAGGCAAAAGACTCTCAAATCGAGACGAAACTTCCCTCGTCGAAATTATCCTTGAAACTCACTTTTCGCAAGTCTTTTTCTCTTTGACTATTATCAATCAGCGCCCGGTGGATTTTTGATTGGCAAAAGACTCTCCGATCGAGTATTTGCACACTCTGCGGATGGGATTTCGTCTGCTGAACAAAACACAAATAACAGCACAGATTACGGTGAGGAGACACAAGTTTTGCGTATTGCTGCGAAGCTCACTGTCTTCCTCATGTGATACACGCGACTGTCTGAAACGTACTAAGTCGAAAAACAAACTATACCTCTCGGCCTTTCCAGTATAGCGACTGACCCCCGTTGCGTCTGCTGCGAAGACGGCCGACCGGTTGTCTCACTCTCGCCAAGGCAGGCCTCGCATATGACTCTCTGCAGTGGTGTTGCCGCACAATTCCATGCGACGTGTGGTTGGGAATTGTGAATCCAATGGCAAAATCAACTTTTTTTCCTCCAATTTGCAATGGTTCTTCGAATCCTCTGCTAATTTAGCTACTGTTTTGCCGTATTGTGCAACAATTGCAGCTAAAATCTGAGAAAATAGCGATAAAAAGTGCCTATCAAGTACCGTTTGCTTCCACACAATTTTCCCAGGAATCAACAGCAACAACACTGAACGGCAGCAATGCTACCTCTCCTTCTCATGCCGAAAACTCCGCCCCTCAAGAGTTGCGCTTCGCAGTCAGCTCCGCAATGTACATTATGTACAATCACGCACCCGGTTCACTCACACACTCTCGCGGGAAAAGCATCATTTTCATCCCAAATGGGAAAATATATCATGAAGGGTGTGTGTGACAAGCAGAGAAGAAGGAAAAAAAGCGGTCTTGCTGAGGAAAAATCAAGCGCAGAAGTGGAAAATGTTGCAGAAATGATTTTGAGGTATGGCATTTTCATTTTTCTCTTCCTCAATATTCTACATCTCTCTTGAATATACCCACAATTTTCATCCCCGGAAAATTCGCCCCCGCGTGAGCGAAAGAGATGGGCAAAAAGTGTGCAAGAGAAAGTTGTTCAATGTTGATTGAAAGCACGGGAGTTCAATATAATTTCAGAGCATGAGTGATGAATTGTATAATTAAACTTTTCCATATTTCAACAGGGACAACTTGTCTCTTTCCCACATTCAATTTACATTTGATTGGGGAGGCAGAGACGATGAGGTATTTTCGCTATTGAAATTGAATGTAAGCCTACGTTGAAATAATTACACATTTCATAAATTTATACATGTTATATTTTCGGTGTGTGGTCCATCGATTTGTGTAAAATTAGACGTTTCAACTGTGAATTGAAATCACAAATCCGGAAGGGAATTATTGACATTTTTGCGGTGGGGTTAATTGATAGTTTAATTCTTATGTGGAAAATTGAGGGAAGTTCGGAAGTTGGTCTGCATCAAACGAGATCAGTCAACTGATTATCCAGGATAAAACTTTAGAGAAACAAAGGATAATGCAGTGAAATGTATACCTGATAAAGGAGTTTAACGTCAATTTTTAGTATTAAAATTGACTTTTTAAGTAACGATGTATATTTTGATTTAATCTTTAATTGAGGGCATTTTGTGACAATATTGTTGTAAGTCATTTTTTGTTAAACACATTCTGCTATATGAATTTTCATGAATCATTGCATTTTCTTCACGAAGTCTTTACAGAATAGATATTAAAAATAGAGTGGAAAATATTTTTAAGTTTTCTGTCTCCTTAAAATGTGTTTTACACGTGTTATAAGCAGAATGTAGATCAGAAATAGTCACCTCAGTAGCATTGGAAAGTGTAATAAAACTTCTGCAAACGCTTACCTGACACGAAAAGTCTGCATAAAGCCAAAAGTCGGCTAGTAAATCTCGAGCTATAGGGTGAGAAACCTCATTAGGATAATGTCGACGGTAACAATTGAATCAGCAAATGAGGCAATAAAGTATCCCTTGTCTCAGAGGGACTCTTCGGTCTTTAGCTCCGAGCCATTATTCCAGTTCTGTGGAAAGAAAACATTACTGGGTGCAGAGAAAAGGGGTTTATTGCAATGCAAACTGTCAATCTCGTCTCTTCTGCTAACATTCCTGAATCTCTCCCGAAAAATATATAGGATTTGATTTATGGCAAGTGAAAAATCTGAAATGCTGGAAATTCCCATGTGGATTTGGCAACAGGATACTTTAGGCAGAAGAGAGAAAAGTTCAGGCTCAACATGTGGCTTGAGCAACATCTTTTCTGGTGGAAACCACCAGTTTAGCTACCTTCTATTCTGTAAGGACACATCGCCAGGTAATGACCTCTGAAAGGCTAACCTGCAGTGTCAGACGCAGAGCGATTTTTAATTAGAGTTACTAACAAGGTTCCTAATGTAAGTGCCGAAGGCAAGGAAGGCTAAGAACCAAGCTAATGAGACATGAAATAAGGAGAATGTTCCTTGTCTCCTCCTGAAACCATGAGAATGCAAATGAATTTCGTCCCGCTGCGGAAAGTTTGGGCGAAATTGAAGGAGGAAAAGCGTGAAAAAATACACAGGACAAAAGTGTTGTAGGGAGTATAATAAGTAATTTGGCTTAGCCGCCCCCCTCACGCCCATAATCGCCCATTACTTTGAGTCTTAGTGGTCAGATTAGACAATCGCCAAGCTGTGTTTATTGCCTTCTGTGTCGCGTGTGTCCTTCACACACAATCGGAACCACCACTGGGCGGAACAAATCGACTCACCGGAGAGTCCTTCTTGCCCGGCCAGGATCATCCTTGTCCCAGTGAGAAAGGTGAAGCAAAAATCATTTACCTTCTTAGCGTTTTTTTCCCCCGTCCACCCATCGACCCTCTTTTGGCCTTTTCACCTGAAAAATTCATTAAGCAGGAAACTCATTTCACGACGAGAATCGCAGAGAGATTTTTCCAGTCCGTCAAGCCACGTGGAAAATGTTCGTTAGAAGCGCTGAACAACTGGATCGGAATGAGACTTTTGGAAAGATTTTTTTATTTAATTTGAGACGGAAAATTACTGAACATTTTCAATACACTCTTCGATAAAAGGGTCCAGCAGAAAAAAAAACTACCAACAAAGAGCGATCGTACGCCTAATTTATTGCGTCAGAAGCATAATTTGAAATAGAAAAGAACATTTTGTTGTAGGCAGAGATTTAAGCTGACCAATTTTTTCGTCTCTCTGTGACTGGATTTGGTGTGTGCTTTATTAAGAAGAAATATTTTCCAGGTCGAAGATGATTAGTGGGTTGTCACATAACATAGATTTGGCTTCTGGTTTCACTCCCTGCATTGTTGTAGGCACACGAGTTTTTTCTCTGTCGAATATATCCCTTCTCTTCGGCAAGGGCAAATGCTGCGTATGGAGATTATCGTGAGGTGCGAGAGCGGGGAAAATATGTAATTTTGATGTTGGGAATATTGGGTTGGATTCGATGCGGTTCGGATTCTATTTGATTTTCATTGTTGATACCAATTTAACAGCAATAATTTGGGATATGGACAGAAGAGAAATTCCATTGACAGGTGAAACTGTCTTGATTTTCTGACCACACACGGGAGACAAATATGTCACTCTCATGGGCATTAGATGTCTTTCTCAGGAATATTGAGCCTGTAAAGGGGTTACGCAGCAGGATCTGTAAATCTTAGGGGTAGATTCAGCTCCCGGGAGAGTAACAAAGATGTTTATTTTGCAGCAAAGCCTTCTAAGCATTCCCACCCTCAAGAAGATGAATATCTTTTCCAGTATAGTTGGCAATATTCATTGCATGGTGTTTGAAAACTCCTCCATCTTCAGTCCAGAATCCTTTTCTTCTCGATACACAGCGTATGAATATTGCGGTTGGACTTAACTTGAGGATAGAGTCTTGTAATCTTATAACTGGGCTAATGCCTCTTGAGAGTAATGAAAAAGTCAATTGACCCACTGATACTTTGGGCAATTGTTGCTCAGAGAAGAGGAAGTGCGATAAATCCTCTTCGGGAAAAAACTGAAAGGCCCCACACTTGGTAAATTAGTAGAAAAGCATTTTCACACTCCAGAGTGCTTTTGACCATTTGTTTCAAGACCTCGAGACATTAATCCTGGGCTGACGAAACTAATTTCGATGCACGTAATCTCTGAGATTTGATCAATAGTTTGTCAGTTTTTTCTCACTCTTTGACTCGGTTTTTCACTCATTACACTTTGCCAAACACTTCTTTCGGAATTCTGTCTGTGGGCTCTTCTTCTAATAAACCGGAAATGTCAATAGACAATTTATTGGCTTGAGAGGACCTCCAGGCGCTAATGAAGACGAATAATGTGTGACTTTAACACTACCAATCAGAATTCTGTCACATTTTTGAAACAAAACATTGACATAATGTTTCTGTGTTTAAAATTCATGCAATGACAAATGTTTTTCTCAAAATTTGTCTCAATTCAGTCAGTTTCAGATTCAATTGAATGCATCTCGTGTTTCACTTCTTCCGATAACAATTTGCTGTAAAGGCAAAAAGGTGTTGAGGAATTTCTCATTCCACGAAACCTCTGCAGACGATTTAGAAATTTCGTGCTGACTCTACTTTCGGTTTCTCAATTTTTTTCTGAACATTTTATACATGTTTCCGTGAAGATTGACACATTTCGATGTTGTCAACTCTTCAATTTGCTTCAGATGAAGTTTTCTCCTTTTATTTCATTCACATCTCTCACTTTTTTTTCCTCTCTAACATCTTTCTGCCTTCCTTCGGCCTCCAGCGGACCCATCTTAAGGTGGAAGAAAAAAAAAAGTTGAATGTGATGGAAAAAAATAGAGAAGAATGCGTTACAACTAGAAAATTTTTTGATAAAAACACACGGAATTGGTAAATTTCTTTGTGTCGCTCTGAATTGGTGCGTTTTTATCACCGCCTGACCTGTCAGACCTTTCAAATTCTTGAGATATCAACAAATGCACACGACAAATGCATCAAGAATTTTTTCACGTGATGGTTTGGGAAGTAGTTCATCTCCGTGCGCTTTGAAATTCAAATCAATTTTGCTTGTCGATTGACATGGAGAGACACCTTCAGCAACACTGTTAATGCTGCGCTGATGGTTTGTTACTCGGGGCAAAAATTATAATTTTTTCCATAGTCCGTTGGAGAAAAAAACGAGGGACCTTTTCGTGTATTGCTTTTTTACAGTAACTGCAATTTGAGAAGAAATTACCGATGGTGCAATTTGACACTAATTGATGTGATTGAGGTAACAGTGATAAACGGTGAAAATGCTTCTTTTTGTGAATTCGACAGGCTTTAAAGTGTCGAT